GAACAAAAGCCAGCAGCACAGAGGGAGGTAGAGCACTCCAAAGGCATAGGGCAGTGGGAGGCACCCGGTCACAGCAGAAGCCTATCAAAGCGCAATGCCTCTAGGTGGCCTCCCAAAAGCCCTACAGCCAGGGGATAAGAGACTTGACAGTTCTTGAAGATGGAGCGGACATAGTGGGCAAGAGAAATGGTTTTTAACCTGGTGACTTTGGGAATGGAGGGGACTTGAGCAGAGATAAGGCAGCCAGCAAGCCATCAGCATGGCTAGTTCACTGGGAAAGGCACTGGTGCCCTCTTCCAAACCCCCATTCTTAGAGGTATGCAAGCTGAAAGTTTTTCTGATCCCTGTAAACAAACGCCAATCAGACAACATTTTAAACCAGCCAATATACAGAGTGGGACAAAAGTGGGTTCACAGTTGTTCGTATGGAAAATAATACAATAATCAATACTAATAAAAGGGTAATATGCAAATGGTCATGACGCCCTCATGCTGTAACGACTAATCAGCAGGAGGCTGCGAACACAGCAAGCGCAGGTGGGCAGGGCTGTGTGCGTGGTGAGGTGGGGGGACATGAGGATGTATCGCCCGCCCAGCGCCGGCCGGGGACGTGACGCTGTTATTGTTTATTTATTAATAAATTTATTCATTATTTTCATATACATTTTCCTAATTTTCTTTCATCTCTGACACTTCTATTATAGAGAAAGGGCACATAGCAATATCAAAATATTTCCTCTAATTAATTCCCTTTTAATGTGCACGAATTTTGTGCACCGGGCCACTAGTTAATAAATAACAGTACAAGAATAAACTTTGTTTTGTGTACCCACAACTGTAGACCTACTTTTGCCTCGCCTTGTATTTATGAAATTTAATGTTTTACACATTTTAAAAACTTCTTTATATTGAAAAGTGAATCATGCATTTTTCAAATGATTTTTCAGTGTCTACATGCAGCTTCGTATCTTCCTCACCTCATGTCCAATGTATGACCAGTCTCTTTCACGCTCAACAAATTAAGGAAACTCCCATAATGAGGATGGAAAGTGATGAATCTATTATTCATTAAACTGCTGTGTAGCTAAATGGTAACACTGCCCTGTTATGTCCCCCAGGTCATCCTGGTTTGGTAACAGAGGTAGACAAGGTATGGAAGAGTTGAAGAGGGACCTCAGTCACTTTCGGACCAAATAGTTTGACTCTGTCATATTCTCCAATCATACTAATAGAAATTTAAAATGCTATTTTAATGATATTAACACATTAAAGTCATGAAATTAAGCATAACATTAGCAAAGAGAGATTACTGGTGTGGTAGGTAGAGTGTAATGTTCAGGAATGCATTAAAATGCATTCATCATCATCATCGTCATCATCATCACCATGGGCTCTAGCTCCAGCTCCATCACCTGCAGAAAATGTGGGAACCCTTAGATCTTGGTATCATCTACCCTGTCACCCTTGAAGTCTATCTTTTCATCTTCCCATTATTCATCTTGACTTTGGATCAAGCAATACCTGGATTGGAAGGTCATTTTTTATGCAAAAGAGCACAAAGAAAAAAGTGGTAACTAAGTCAGTGCTGCAAGAGAAGGACAAAGTACTGCAGGAATTTGGAGTAGAAAAACACCGTTTATGGCCAGGTGCTCCAGAACATATTCATGTACTTGAGGGTACATGAGCTTAGCCTTGAATTACGGATAGATCTGCAATAGGCAAGCACTCAAGGAAAAAGATTCTGAGTAATAAATTGAAGAAAGCTATACTGCTCCTCCGCTGCTATATATCAGAACCACAAAGTTGTCTATGCTGTAAGCCTACTACTGTGAAGAAATACGGGTCCCAGAAGTTAACCAGAAAATACATAAAGAATAGAAACGCTCCCAACTACACAGCCGCAAAGAGTAAGTTAACGTCACAGGCTAGTACTTACGTGCAGTGAAATTCAGGTCTGTTGCGATTTATGCCATGCGAGGAGGATGCAGGCTCTCCGGAGGCAATTTATTTCCCCATTGACTTGTAATTGTAGGTGTACTTAGTTCCATCACTGATTTATTTTTATTGGTAATGAATATTAGTACTTTAGCTTAAAGTATCATCTGCCATGTATGTCAAGTAGTTAATGCAAATGAACTCTTAAATATGCTGAGGGAGCTCATTATTTAAGGTAATTATTTAGCAAAGCAATGATCCTTTGGTTACGCAAATTACTGACATTAGATTGTAAATTGTTAAGTATCCAGTTTTATGTTTCGTTCCGGGCCCTCAAAATGACCTTTCAGTCCAGGTATTGCTTGATCCAAAGTCAAGATGAATAATGGGAAGAGGAAAATATAAACCTCAAGGGTGACAGGGTAGATGATACCAAGATCTAAAGGTTCCTGTATTTTCTGCAGGTGATGGAGCTGGAGCTGGAGCCCACGGTGATGATGATGATGATGATGATGATGATGATGATGATGATGATGATGATGGCTTTGGCTTGTTATATACCCCCTGCTAGACACTTGTTTAGATTGATTATCACTTTATTTCAAGACCACCTTCATCAGATAGACATTTACGGCTTATTTATTTGTGTGTCTACCAAGCACCAAACATTTATCAGGTACCGGAAGTCACCTGTGTCTGGTGGCTTGGAGGAGGGGTGATGAGGGAAAGCAGGCAAGTCAGCCAGCCTTTTCTATGTCTGCATCTTGCGGTAGAGACAGTGTTGCCGGCCACTGCCTGTCAGTCCTCTCGCCCCCGCGTACTAAAGGGACAGAAGAATCCTGACTGATCTCCAAGAAAAAGCCCAGAGGGAAGTTACGCAATGCGCCATGTTACTCCTCTCATACACACTGGGCCTGCTTTCCTCATTCACCGCTTCGTCCTAACCCGTCTCTTCCACCCACGCCTTTTCCTCGGTCCCCACCCAGTCCTGCGTATCCTCCTCAGGATGGCAAACACCAGAACACCAGTCTCTACCATTTCTCGCTCCTGCCAGTCTTGGAAATCCTCCTGAACACAGCTGCCAGCACGCGCCCAGCCCCACCGCCACATCCCTCCCCGAAGGCTGACAGCCCCCATCGCCAGGCACAGGAAGGCAGACTCAGCTCCTTGCAGGCTCTAAAGGAAACCCAGCCAGCCTTGCAGAGGCGGCTACCCAACCCCCCGGCGGAGCCTTCCGCGCCATCAGACCTGTCTCTCCATTGGCTCGCCCGCCCAGCCTGCTGTCACTCTTGTATTTGCTGTGTGTGTGCTGCCAAGCTGGGATGTTAGCGATAATAAACATGGTTTATCCGACAGGACGGAGATGAGACTCAGAGACCCTGACCCTAGTGACATTGACCCCCCTGCAAGCCACTTAACTTCTCACCTGTAAGAGACAAAGATATCTGCTAACACATTTCACAGTCATTTTGTCGGGAAAATGAGACAATCTACAGAAAGTACTTTCTAAATTATAAACTGCTACATAAAGCAAATCCTATCTAATCAAAATTTTATCTTACCTGAAATTCAAGAAGACATCATTCTTAAACCACGTATTTGGCACCTTTGAAATTTCCATTCTTCTTGCATGAAGTTGCAGGTCACTACTATTTGAGATAATTAAACAGAGGGACCTGGAATTGGAGAGCAGACACAGAGGCCAAATGAATATTCAACAAATTCTCGGGGGTCCTGGGTGTGGGCGCCCCACAAAACCAGCCTCTGCAGCTTTGGGTTAACCTGGGGCCGGGCCCACGCTCCCGCCAGCACGTTCCTTTGAGGACCAGAGCCGTGTCCCAGGACTGACAGGTGTCGATGTCAGTGAGGTTGAGCCACGAAGTCAAAAAGCTGTCATAAAAAATTTGGTCGAGAAATCAAAAACTAAAACTTCAAAAAACTAAGCGCATTACATATAGGGCGAAGGCAGATGGACAAGTGAATTGTTGGAACTTTGTTGCCGAAGGATTACGCAAAGCGGTGTCAATAGAAATGCATTTGTTTTCTTTTCCCAAGTAGATGGAAAGCTCCTTAAGGCCAAGGCAAAAGATGAATCATCTCTATGTAAGGAATAGAGTCCCTAGACCAGTGGTTCTCAACCTTCCTAATGCCGCGACCCTTTAATACAGTTCCTCATGTTGTGGTGACCCCCAACCATAAAATTATTTTCGTGGCTACTTCATAACTGTCATTTTGCTACTGTTATGAATCGTAATGCAAATATCTGATATGCAGGATGTATTTTCATTGTTACAAATTGAACATAATGAAAGCATAGTGATGAATCACAAAAACAGTATGTGATTATATATGTGTTTTCCGATGGTCTTAGGCGACCCCTGTGAAAGGTTTGTTCGACCCCCACAGGGGTCTCGACCCACAGGTTGAGAACCGCTGCCCTAGACTAACTAGACCTTTAACAAGCATTTCTGGAATAACTGAAATCAAGTCTCACAAACAGGCATTTGCAACCTCTGGTTTCCTCGCTGGAAATGTAACGGAAGTAAAAAACTATTTTATTTATGACAATAAACTTAGCTCCCCATCAGCATTCAGTACGTATGTGTTCAGAGAGCTATATTTAGTTATGGATCAATGTCTTATTCAGTTAGTGAGCTGCGTTAAAAATCATTCCCCAATTACTAACCAAGTCAGAAACGCTTAGAAAATTCAGGAGGGCCCTTTGAAAAGCTCCTTTTGCTATTCTGCCAAGGCGTTTGTGAGAGCGCGCTGACACAATACAAAAATCTGTCTTTTCAATCCTGTGTTTCTTGGCATAATCTGAAATTAAAATGGTACTCACGCGATCAATAAATCTATGGCAACTATTTGGAGAAAACTGGCAAAAAGGTAATTTTCTTTTATTCCCTCTTATTTTAAAGGTGTTTTTATAAGCAAACAGGGCAGCCTCATTGTTAGAGTGTGTCCAGAGCGTCATGTATCTGGCCCCCAGAAGCAAGATTCATCCTGCGGGGGCGCTAGCTGAGCCTGAGAGGGCTTTCAAAGTACCGCCCACACACCGTGCGTGCTGAACAAATGCAGATTTATTGAAAGTAAACATTTACATTGGCTACAATGTTAGGACTGTTACAAAGCTGGATAAAAGAGGCTTACGTAGCAATAGAAAGCAAGTGCAATAAAAAGTGAATAGAGAAAATATTTGGCCTTAGGATCTCTTGGCAGTATTTACAGTATGTACATATCGATAAATATTTATAATAACTCTAAGGCACCAAAGGCTACAGAGCAGGTTGCAATACTATTTTGTGCACAAAAGTCAAGAAATTTATTGTAAAGAAAGGCTATATAGTTAAAGAAACACAGGCATATCTTCGTGTTTACAGAAAGGAGTGGCTGCATATTTTAAAATCTCAAGTGATACATTAAGTATTGGGCAGATTGGAGAAATTATTTTTAGAACATTAAATTATGTGGACTATGTAAATAAGCACTATTTTTTTACTGACCCGCTGGTAAATGTGTAATGGAATCTATTCTTCAACACAGCTTCTTCACACTCGTGGATATGTTCTGTCTAAAAACTACTTGAAATTCTTTTGACCTGCAAAAATGTATCCTAATATACCATGGTGTTTACAAAATCCCCAAGAAAAATTAACTGGGCAACAACGTACATCAAATTGATATATAATGGACAAAAATTTAGCAGGCATTCAATGCCAAAAATACTTGAATATTCCATCTGCCATTCTGGCATAGGAATTGGGTGTTTTAACCCTTTCACTATTTAGGGTGGGCAAATCTGTGGCTTTGGGTGAATGGACATAAAAGTGGTCCATGTAGAAAACCAATCTTAAAGAGAACTAATTATTTTCAATTGTTGCAGCTTTAAATCCCTTCTCATAACCCATTGGGTGTTAACTACGTCATTCATTCCCAGTGATTGAAATATCTGTATTACTGTGTTGTCAAGGGGCCATCGACAATATCTATGGCCAGTATAGTCTCTGACTATTGAATAGTTTGATGACTTCTATTTGTAAGACTCCTTTTCTTTCTTACCCTGGAAACCCAATTTACCTTGACAAACAGTCTGTCATTTGTCTTGAGGTAGTGTTATGATGAAGAATTCAGTGAGACAATAGAGTAACATTGTAATATTTTTAAAATGTGCTTCAGGTGCCACCATGAAATCCATCCATTTGGACGGTAGACAGTCCTCAGTTGAGTGACCTGTCAGACATCAAATCACTGCGGATGAAGTCACCCCAACTTAACAAGGATGACAGCTTTTTGCCTTAAACCTTTCGGAAACCCCACGCCCTGATTAAGTGGTGGTATGTGGCATCAAGTACTGCGAAACTTCTTTCAATGACAATAGACTTGCGTAGGAGAGGTTTCCTGTCTTTTAAGCAAAGGGGAGCACAACGGAGGATTCCTTCTCTAAACTCTCCCATGAGAAATATTCAGAGCATCGACAACAGTTTGGGTTGGTTTCTTACATCACATAGCATTTGATGGTAAGCCCTTAAGCTTACTATCTTGTATTGAAATCTTGTACTCATATTCAAAATTTTAAATTTAAAAACCACCTTTGAGGCCAACATTTGAGATTTGCTGAGCAACAAACATACAAACCATTTCAACGTAATGCAGTCTAAGGCACCACTACAGTACCTTACCATAGTGTGTCCTATAGTAATAATAAATTATTGCTTTTTCTCTTCCCCAATGTTCAATTACTTTCTTTTTTAATACACTGAGTGATAAAAGAGGACAAATTATTCATACTGAAATGTTTACAAAATCAGTAATGGCAGAAAAGAAGTAGAACTAATAAATGAGGCTCCTCTTCCCCTACTGCAAGAATGAAAATAAATGACTACCTTTGCCCAGTGGGTTCATATTAAGTAGTAATGGCTACACAATTAATAAACTATTACAAAGCAGCAGAGAACAGACTTCCAATAATCATAAAAATACAATACAATATCATGTCTGGAATCATCAAGTAAGTCAATAGATAGTATCTTAATGGGGCGACTGAATCAAGGCAAGGTAACAATAATGTTTAAACTTCTCCATTTTAGTGACCTGCTTGGATTCTGGAAGCATGGTATTCATTTACTCATGGTATTTCTTAAAATTAGATTCTTTAGAAATCAAGGTAAGCATCAGGATCCTGCAGCATACTTTATCATCATAAGAGATGCCTTTTGTCTATGATAACGTTAGGCACTAAAAGGATCAAACATTTTCCTTGCTCTGAGAGGTGAACCTACTTTCATTCTTAAGTTGGCAGAAGTGTGTATGCTGCTAGCTTTTCCTCTCCTCCCAAAGTCCTTGAAGCTACGCTTGCAGGTCAGATCCTAACACAACACACCTTCCAGGTCACTCAGGTGTTCAGTAAGCCCATACTGGGTTAGGTCAGTGGCTTCAGTCATGCGTGGAGGCGCTGTAGAGTTTTGGGAGGTGCCTCAGTGGTCCCAGTGGCCAAACAGTGGGGCTCCAGGACCTCAATTTCCAGATCCTGCTATTACACCTTCATATTTATGTCAGATAGACAATGTCCCATAAAAATAATTTGGAAAAAAAATAATCTTGTTGCTTAAAAATGTTTTTTAAAACACAGTCCAAGGGACTTGGGAGACTTACGCAAGGATTCCTCTAGCCCTGCCTAAGTCCTCCAGCATCTGCTCACAGGACTAAACAAGATGCCGCCCCTGGGCCCTTGAATGCCAACAGGCTCACTTTGGGTTCAACACAGATCAAGGTCTTAAGTGGATGGTGTCACAAGGATTAATAGCCCAGCCACTTCAAGTTCTTTTTGTAGAAATCAGTTAGTTACAATATAAGAAAACAAAAGATCCGTACAGACTTCCTCAGCAGCACCCCTTAACAATATGGAGGGCCTCTTCTCTCTCACCTTCTATGCCAGAGGAAACAAACACAGAAGTTGTAACATTATACCTGCAAATGACTATACGTGCTTATTTTTTTCTAAGTAAATTAGAATCAGATATGAGCCTTGATTCAGGGTTTGAACAGAGTGGCAGACACGATAATTAAACTGCTCTCATGAATGGCCTATTCCCAAGACATCGCACGGGAAAATGAAACACTGGCAACGACAACCTGTAATGACTGAGAAAAACGTTAGGACCCAAAGAAACCAGACATGCTGTTGGTGGTCACGTGACCAGTGGCAGGAGGATGGGCGCTGGTGTTATTGTTCCCTATAAACTTATTTTGTGTTCTTTTAATATAAAAGAAACTTCAAAGTTTATCTTCTTTCTCAATATGAAAAAAAATATGCAGAGGTATTAGATGAAAAAATACAAAAATGCTGGTGTGGTCTAAATAAATTTTAAAAATGTTCCATTGTAGGAAATAAAAAATAGGTACTGTCTGTTATAATTCTGAGACCTTTTTTGAATACACGTGATCATTTCAATGTAGACTTAGTCCACCAGGGGTGTCTATGTTTCCAAATTAAGACTTTTACATAATATTATTAATGAGTTGAATTTTAACCGAAGAAAACATTCTTTAAACAAATAGAGAAATTGTTAGCAAATACTGTCAGTGAATGAACAATGGTAAATTTGGCTCATATCTTGGTTTCTGTCCGGATTTACTGCTTATGGAATATTATTTATTGTCACTGAATGGGAGAACTGTGGAGCTACACCACCTGTTGTCACAATACACATGTGCATATCTACACACACATGTGCACAGTCACACATTCTGATGCATGATCTATAGATATGTATATTACAAACTTTTGGGCAAAGCATTGCATCTAAGACTAATTGCTTTCGTATAAGGAAAAATAACAGGAGAATAGGAAACGTCCCTCCTCAAAATAGTTGAATGTTCATACCACTAAGTATATATATAGATATATATATAGCACGTCAGAATGTGCGAACATTTTACTTATTGCAAAGTATCTTAGAGATTTAGACATCATTATAAAACGTTCTCAATGCGATTTTGGTAACCTAAAGTGTTGGTATATAATACCAAACTTCCAATTAAAGAGTTTAATATAAAAATATCAGCACAAAACTGCTTTTTCAATCTGTTTATTGTGTGAGCAACCCAAACTTCAGTTTAAGTGCTGTTGTAAGTTTATTCCTAGATTCCATAACCCTACAATTGATAAATTTCATACCGTTTTAGGTATTTAATGAGATACTTAGAAATACTAAGAAAAAAATCAGTATTCAAAGGATTAATTTTGTTTATAATAACAATAAATTATTTCATCATCTTCTTCAGTTCAAAATCCAGCTTTGAACCCGAGGAAGGCTTTCAGGACCCCGTTAACGAGATGGTGGTCCTTCAACCGGTCGCGGTCTGGTTACCGATTACGCGAAGGATCTCCTTGTGGATGCCTCCTTCTTGTGTGTTAATATTTGCATCTCCCACTTGGCCATCTTCATAGCTAAGGCACAAAGCAGAAACATGAAACGTGAACAAAGGGGAAACGTTCCAGGAAATTCAGAAAGCATTTCCAACAGCTGAGAAAGGCTGTGTGCTACCGAGAAGACAGCCCAGGGTTAGCAACAGCGAAAGACAGCGAGTTCTCGGCTGTATTCTAATGATGCCTGTGCACCGGGAACCACAGAGGAGCTTGCACTACTCAACACCCGATGATGCCTCGCCCTCGCCCTCGCCCCTTCCTTCCTGTGACATTTTAACTTCAATCCCCCACAAAGCCCGCCTGAGGTGCAGGGAGCTCTCTGTGCAGACATCCCCACAGCGGTTCATGCAGCCCGGGTCAAGTTCATGCTCCTCAGACCCTGGCTTCTCCCGCTTCGCTCACTTCCTCACCAGTGGCTCTAAGAAACAGCCTCACTTGTGGCCGTGCGCTCCAAGCCCACCTCTAATTACTCCTCCGCGGTGACCAGTGAAGCACTTCGTCTTATCACCGGCGGGTGCCTGGGTCTGAGATAACAGATTCTCATTTATGCGCTCCTTCCCGTAAGAACACGCGCGCGCGCTAAGCTTAGCCAAGCAACCGCAGGGACAATGCCGGCTGAAAGACAGCAATTACCGAGGCCTTCAGAAAGACATAATGACATCCTAGATGATCATTCATCTCCTCACATAAACTTACTGGGGCAATAACCATTTCCCAAGAATGACTGTTTAAACTTCCACGATAATATTCAGAGCAGAATAGGCACTGCATTAATTTTTACTTCATGGGAATGACTTCAAGACGGAAGCTGTAGAGAAGCGCTAAGTGCTTCCAAACAGATAACCAGGTAGGCCTGGTCTCAGAGATTCATGTCTTTCCCTCGCCACACACAAATCCCCCTGAAACAGCACAACACAGGGAAATGAAGCAGATGACCCAGCAATGGGAACTCGGGGCCCCCCTAACCCACTGCTCCAGCACCCAGGGCAGCCATCGGTGTCCGGTTCAAACTCCCAAGCACTGACTCAGGGGTGCCCGCCAACACTGCTAATTGTGACCACACAAGTGTGTGCACACACATGTATGTAGGAATATATATATATGTAAATACAGGACCCTCCATGCTGAAATACGACTGCAAGGAAAAGAAGGGCATAGGTGGTATACAGCCAGTTACAAATACTTCCTCAGATCAAGCAGTGCGTTCCCTGGGAAGAATGTGTAAAGGGAGATGCTTTAGAGGTGTGGAAATCTCGTCAGGTGCTCTGTGGAAGAATAGGTAAAGATGCATATTCAACTGGGCAGAAAGTCTGTCATCCTGGTTTCTGAATAAATCCTGGCTCCCCACTGGGCTTCAGGTCAGCTAAGCACCCAGAAATCTGAGCCCAGGCCAGGGAGGCGACCTGCTCACTGGAGACAATGCGGTTTGACCAAGCCAGCCTGGCCAGCGCCACCAGGACTCAGACTATGGAAAACAGCGGAGAATGACGGAAAGGGAACAAACCAGACGCCAAGAAGACACGGTCTGTGAGAGAAGTGGGAACAGGGGAAGGTCTGAGAGCTGTTTTGGTTCTTCTTCTTCTTTCTTTTTAATATGTTTTTACTGGTTTTTAGAGAGAAAGAGGAAAGGAAAGGAACGCTCAGACATGTAATGACTGGTGGCACTAAGGCATTGACTTCAAGGGAGAGAGATAGAAACATCCACGGGAGAGAAGTGCCAACACTGACTGGCTGCCTCGTGCCCGCCCCCTACTAGGGATCGAGCCTGCAACCTGGGTATGTGCCCCGATTGGGAATCAAACCGTGACCTCCTGGTTCATAGGCCCACGTGCGACCCCTGAGCCATACCAACTAGGATGCTTTGGTCCTTGATGGCTTCCCGATGTCAAATACCAGCCCACTTGCATCTCTACTGTGAATTCCTTAATATGCACACATCTGTCCTAGTTCCATGGTGCTGTGGGTACAGTCAGCACACCTACTGTGTCCTCCCTGCTTTGGACGCCATATTGAAAAAGGTACCGAGTATCCAGACGACCATCTGCGCTCCCTCTAGAGCAGCGGATCTCAACCTGTGGGTTGCAACCCCTTTGGGGGTTGAACGACCCTTTCACAGGGGTCGCCTAAGACCATCGGAAAACACATAGATAATCACATACTGTTTTTGTGATTAATCACTATGCTTTAATTATGTTCAATTTGTAACAATGAAAATACATCCTGCATATCAGATATTTACATGATGATTCATAACAGCAGCAAAATTAGTTATGAAGTAGCCACGAGAATAATTTTATGGTTGGGGGTCACCACATGAGGAACTGTATTAAAGGGTTGCGGCGTTAGGAAGGTTGAGAACCACTGTTCTAGATGAAAGCTGGCCTTTGCTTAAGATTTGTCTGTCATATAAACCTGTTCCCTTTTCCCACCATCCACTGCAGTCGCTTATCTAACCCTCACCTCTACTGACAGGCACTGACACCTCAGACCGGCTGCCCATGGCCGCCTCGGGGATGAATTCAGGAGATTTTATCTGCTATAGGCTCCAGTCTGCAGGAGGTGATATTGCTTGTTTTGTTTGTATTTTTAATTTTATTTTTCAGTTGACATTCAATATCATTTTCTATTGGTTTCAGGAGTGCAGCATAGGGTTAGACCAGCCGTGGGCAAACTACGGCCCGCGGGCCGGATCCCGCCCGTTTGAAATGAATAAAACAAAAAAAAAAAAAAAGACCGTACCCTTTTATGTAATGATGTTTACTTTGAATTTATATTAGTTCACACAAACACTCCATCCATGCTTTTGTTCCGGCCCTCCGGCCCAGTTTAAGAACCCATTGTGGCCCTCGAGTCAAAAAGTTTGCCCACCCCTGGGTCAGACAGTCATGTACTTTACAAAGTCCCCCCCCCCGCCCCCGCCCCGGTTATTTCCAGTACCTGCCTGGCCCCATACACTGTGATTCCGATAGATTGACGGTATTCCCTGTGCTGCACTTTCCGCCTACACAGAGCACAGGGGGAGGGAGAGCGGAGAGAAGAGCGAGGTTGAGATGGAAAGTATTAAGAAAAATGCCCACTTTCCCACTGTCAACGAAGCATGAAGGAAGCCCAACAGCTCGAGAGTGAAACTGGCCCAAAGCAGTCAGTGCCTTAAACTCTGAAGCAGACCGAACACTAAAGGGCAAATGATGACCCCCGCCTTGGTGGACTGGCAGAGCCAGACACGCGGTTATGGTGGCACCAGGGCACCGGCCTCAAGGCAGACACAGCCCTGGGTGGCTATTCCTTATCACTGCAGACAAATACTGGGTTGCTCATGGGAAGTTCAAGTCCAGAAAGCAACACCGTTTTAAAAAGAAACAGAGCAAGATCTCCACAGGGAAGTGAGACAATGACTGGGGTTTTATGAAGAAGGAAAATGAAAGCATCTAAAAGGAAACAGAAACGGCGAATGTTCCCAGGCGTATAAAAAGATTACGAACATTTTAATTGGAAAATCAACCAATTTGCTTCAAAAGTCAGGAGAGAGAAAATAAGGCACCAGATGGAACGTAGCTGTTGGGAACTCCCTGGGGAATGAGAGGAAATCTCACAGACAGAGACTTTTGAATGTTCCGACAACCTTTACTGTCAACCCGGTGTCGCAGCTGTCACAGCCTCAGGTGGCACAGGTCACTCGTCTGTCTCCCTAAGTCTGGAACCCAGAAGCGATAGCACCGTTTTCCACCAGCAACAGGAGGACACTCACTGTGAACGGACGGATGGCCCGCTCTCACCAAGTCCCCGCAAGGAACCCGATGTGTCCGCCCTCTCCATTAAGTCACAACATGGGTCTGTGCTCATTGCACCCACTCACTAGCATTCAGTGTTTCTGCACAAGACAACCGGAGGGTCCCAAGTAGGAACATAATTTGCATTTTACTAGGGGAGATAACAGTCATGCAAACGACTTTAGGACAAGGAGCCGGGGAGGTGCAAAGACAGGGCATGCAGAATTGGGGGTGAAGACCGAGATCTCATCTGAGGGGAGCGTCTGGAGAGGCCCAGGGGGACCACCATGTGGTCAAGACTTGGGAGACTGGCTGCAGGCCGGGCTGGTGAGAAGGCCAGTCACCTGGACAGACTGAGAGTGGAGACAGTCGTGGGAAGAGAACTCCAAGCTGCTGGATAATCATTCTACTCCATCGGTGGCCTGTAGGGTAAGTGAAGTGAGTCAACGGGCTCTACGTTGCAGAAGGCCACGTTTGTAAAATAACTGGCAGCCTGACTGAGCAAGGAATCATCGAAAGTCTGCTTTCGGAGAAGTCATCTATGATAATAAAAGCGTAATATGCTAATTCGACCAGACAGTTGAACAACCTTCTGGACAACCTTCTGGACGAAGCTGGGGGCTGCGAGGGCGGAGCCCGGGCATGAATTTCGTGCATCGGGCCTCTAGTGTGATATGAACAGCATGATCTTAAAATTGTATCTGCACAGAAATGCAGGCTACACACCAAAGAACAACTGTGAGTGGGGACGTTACAGGTGATTTTTCTCCTCTTCTGCTCACCGCTGGTTTGGTTTCCGTAGATGAAACAGGTATCTCAGGTGTGATAATGGTAATGTGCGTAACGGATTGGGAGCAGCGAGGAGAGCAGAGAGCGGAGAATAACTGGTGTTCGTTGGTGTGCCCCGGGGAAGAGAGTGACCTGTCCATGGAAACAAAGGTACTGACGGGAGAAAACAGAAAAGATGAACTTGGGAGCGATGACCTCCGTGAGCAAGGTCACAGACATGGAAGCTGCAGCTCGGGCTCCAGGTCTCTGATGTGCGGAATCACTGCACAGACTGGGGAGCACGGACGTGATCAGGGCACTTAGCAGTCACGGGCTCCCCTCTGTACACGCTGACTTTAAGGCGTTCGCAGACTTTCTGAGGGGGAACACGCAGCAAGCAGTTATAATGGGGCGTTTCACTCGTTCCTCTATCTGCCAAGCACTGTGTTAGGCACACAAACCCCAACCCGACCTCAGGAGGTACAGAGTCACGAAGAAGACCACACGGGTAAGAAAGGCCCACAGAGAGCCGTGCCCAGGGCATTCCACAGTGACCGGAAGCCGCAGCACCAGGGAGCCAGGGAGGCTTCTGGAAGGAGGAACAACAGGCACTAGGATCTCAGCGAAGAGTGGGGATCAGCCCTGGCAGGTGGGTGCCCTCCGTGCGCTGGCTGGAGGGGTCTGGAGGGCGGGTCTCTGACAGTGATAACAGTCAGGATGGTCCAGAGTGAAGAAAGAAACGATGTGTAATGAGAGCCTTTCTGCAGAGACCTGCCCGGGCTCACTCTGTCCTCACAGTAACCTCAAGGCTGCACACACACACGGAGGCTGCACACACACACGGAGGCTGCACACACACACACACACACACACACACGGGGGCTTCACACACACGGAGGCTGCAGACCCATGGAGGCTGCACACACACACACACACACACACACACGGAGGCTGCACACACACACACACACACACGGAGGCTGCACACACACACACACACACACACACACACACACACACACACACGGGGGCTTCACACACACGGAGGCTGCAGACCCATGGAGGCTGCACACACACAGACACACACACACGGGGGCTGCAGACCCACGGAGGCTGCGCGCGCGCGCGCACACACACACACACACACACACACACACATACACACACAGAGGCTGCAGACCCATGGAGGCTGCACACACACACACGGAGGTTGCACACACATGGAGGCTGCACACCCACGGAGGCTGCAGGCCACACGGCACCGCCTCTCCCTTGCATCCTGCCCCGGAGTCTCCCTGTGACTCTGACCAATGCTCCCCTGCCCTCTAGTTCCTGGGGTGTGACCACGGCAGAGACATGGGCAGGAGGGTGAGGTCAAGGTCTCTCAGTTCCAGCCCCTAGGGCACCCTGGCTGCCTCCGTCCTTCAACCGGAGGCCATGGCTCCTGACGAAGCCGCTGAGGCCTCGCGCCTGGGCCTGCTGCCTGCTCCCCGGCCTTGTCCCTGCGTGGGGTGCACCGTCTGGTGACTCCACGGGATGCGCGGGCCCCCGGCACCAGCACCGGTAAGGAGCCCACTTACAGGGACAGAAACGCTCTCGCTCTCACGGACCCGGCTCCTGCGGGAAGCCGCCGACAGTGTGTCCCGCTGGGTCACTGAGGCGCCCACTGCACCTGCCGCCGGAGCTCGAGGGGCCCTGTGGCCACCGGCGCCGCTGCTGCCCGCGGCCTGGACACGCCGTCCGGCCAGCGCGCTCTTCCCTCGCGCTCACGCCGCCTCGCCACGAACAGGGACACCTGCGGACGTGTGTGTCTCGGATGTGTAACCGGAGTCAGCAGGCGTCACACAGGCCACACAGCTCAGAGCACGTGACCCTGCATCTTACGGGACTCGGCGCTCACGCCGCCCGCAGGAGCGCGGCCGCCGTGCCACCGGTGCCAGCCCCCCGACGGGCCGCGGACGGCAGGCCGGGCACCGGGCTGCGCTCTCCTGACGCCGTCTCGGTGCAGCCGCTCGGACCCGGCTCCGGAGGAACAAGCCAGTGCCTCTCCCAGCTTCTTTCTCAAGGACCACAGACACGTCCACCAGGGGTGCCCTCCCGCCCCAAGCCCTCGCCGGGACAGGGACGAGGAGAAGGTGTGTGTGTGTCGGGGGGCCAAGCAGCAGCGCCAGCTCGCTCACGTTTCCTCGGGGTGACAAGGAGCGCTGCTGTACTCCAGCTCAGCTCGTAGGGAAAGCTACCACACTGGGCCCGGCAGCCACCTGTATTCTGGGGAACGTAAGCCCGCTTCTCAGTTTTCATTCCACGCCCTCCTATTTGTAAGTGCACAGAAATGACGCATGCACATGTCTGTGTATGTGCCTGTATATATCTACACACGGAACCTGTGTATATGTATATGTAGCCACATATACATATATACATGTACACACATGTACACAGACATAAACACAGATAGATGGCTAAAAAGATACTTTTCTTCAATTCTCCCAGGTTAATAGCATTTAAATATCACTGTTTTCTTACAGGTTGTTAAAATAAAACGGAAATACGAAGTTGATAGAGATGACGTGTGTGACACACTGACGGCGGAAGCAGTCACCGCGACCTCCCCGACGGAGGACGGTGACACAGGTGGGTGCCTTGACACTTACACGAAGAAGAACCGGGTGCAGACGTGCTCGGTGTTCGGGACGACCCATATCTCCCCGTGTCTGTGCAGGTCCGGCGAGGTGATCACTGTTGGCGAAAAGTCACGTTAAAGAAGGATTTTATTCGAAGTTACGACATCCCTCCCCTTAGGAACCTCAACGCAAAAGTACGTGAAACATTAACCCATGAAAGACGGTTAACGTCGTTAGTGATGGAGAAATGTAAACAAGAACTCTCAGAGGCCACTCCATACTACCAGGCGTTGGGTGACAGCAGGTGGGCCCTGGCTGGTGCGCCATCTGCAGGACGCAGGGCCTGGCTGCCTGGACTGTGCAGGCAGCGGCCCGGGTCCCAGAGAACCAGCAAGTGGCCCGAACCTACCAAACAGCTCCCAGTGGCCAAAACCCCCAACACAAGAGTGAGTTCTCGCCCCCAGTCAGATTTTCCATCAAGAACAGAGAAAAGTAGATGGTCGTGCAAACTGCCTGCAGTCACTTTTCTGTCCCAAGTTCAGAACAGAAAGACAAGTTCAGTACAGGAACAGAAAGGCCTAGCGGACTATCTCCTCGGTCTGTCTTCACAATTGTTCATAATGTCACACATTCAAGGCCAACTAACGGAGAAGGCGGCACCTTCACACAGAGATAAGCGATCCGGGTCAGGCAGCTGTAGCTGCCATGCTGAGGTGCCCGCCGGGAATAACGCAGCACTGTCCGAATTCTGCCAACCCTGCTCCTTCGCTCTGACGCTTCCGACCTCTATGGTAGCCGTGTTCCCTCTGTGCCCTTAGAGACAGCCCCGAGGAATAATGCTTTCGCTACTCAGCTACGAGCATTCTGTTAACCCTTTGCGGTCCAATGTTATTTCTGGAATTTAAACAGTCTGGTCCAAATTAATTGACGGGATTGAATGTTGAACTTTTTAATGTTCTTACTGCTCAACATCGGTCCTGCTCCTAGCGCCTGGTCTGTTGAGTCAGCCTCAAGGTTGGACCGAAAAGGGTTAATACATTCTCATTCCTAGATGCAGATACGACAGAGTGCTACACGGCTTGCAAGAACCACAACTTACCTTCACATAAGGCTATGCATTTTAGGTTACGGCTTTGCAGGAACTGGGATTGCTGTCCTTTTTTCTGTGACTAAATTCCAAGAGAATTTAAAAATTAGAGCGAAAATGGGGCAGTCACTAAACTCAGTGATTAATTAAAAAACAATAGTCACTAAGAAAGCTCCCAAAAGGCCTCTCTAGGCTAGCAGCAATGTCCTTGCGCTCTTCCGAACGGCTGCTATATTTGCTATATCATTAAATATTGTACACAGTCACTATTAAAGCACTCTCCAAGTGAACAAGAAATGCTAAATTACACTCCAACAGCCTCACAGCAGAGCATTCAAACTTGTTTCCACTGGAAGCCTGGCATCTCTACTCCCTGGGGCATAAAATTAAAGTAGCAGGAGCCTCTCAAACATTAAGCTCAGTTTTTCCCAGTCACCTAACTATGCAAAACCCATGCTTGTAATCTCACTCAGCCACAGGGTGTCAGATTTGCCTCATGTGGAAGATCGGGGGTTTTGTTTTTAGATATTACATTAGCTATACTTTTTTAAAAAAAAAAAAATTAAGGTCACATTATTCATCCGATGGATTTCAATTTGTCCGGAATGCTTGTTTTCTTTGAAAAACAAGGGGTTTGGCCCGAGCGGCATGGCTCAGTGGTTGAGTGTCAACCTATGAACCAGAAGGTCATGGGTTCAATTCCCAGCCAGGGCACATGCTCAGATTGAGGGCTTGATCCCCAGTGGGGGCGTACAGGAGGCAGCCAGTCAATGATTCTTTCTTGTCATGGATGTTTCTATCTCTCTCCCTCTCCCTTCCTCTCTGAAATCAATCTATATATATAAAAGCCTAAATGACTGGCCAGTAGCTATGATGCTCAATGACCACCAGGGGGCAGACACTCAACACACAGGCATGGAAACATGGAACAGACTGATGAATCTCAGAGGGGAGGGGCAAACGGGGAGGGCGGGAAGAGATTAACCAAAGATCTTATTTGCATATTAGAGGCCTGGCACACAGATTCGTGCACCAGTGAGGTCCCTCGGCCTGGCCTGCAGGGATCAGGCCGAAACTGGCTTTTCAACATCCCCTGAGGGGTCCTGGATTGCGAGAGGGCACAGGCCAGGCTGAGGGACCCCACTGGTGCACAAATCCATGCGCGAGGCTTCTAGTAAAATTATATTTTAAATAAAAGAAACAAGAATCTGTACTTGCTCTGCTCTCTGCCTGGAGGTGTCCTCCCACAACCGAAAGCATGCACCCGCCCCCCACCCCTCGGACTTTTAGTCAAACCCCCTGACCACCGCTTGCCACTCATCCTCGCTCCACCTCCCACACCACCACATTCAACCGCCCCTTCCCAGCTTCTCTCTGCAGGATTTACCATCCGCAGGCTCTCCACCTCAATGTATAGCGTTTACTTCTCCCCGCTCAGCAGAACGGAGGCTCGGAGAGGATGTGCCTATTTTTAATCCTCACGGTAGCCTAATGCCTTGGAGAGCCTCCAGCATTGCCGGAGGAGCTCGATACAGACTTGCTGAGTATTTATTGAATAAAGGCATTTGGGTTATTACATTTCAGGGTGAGTTTCGTTCCCTTGTGAGTAATGACCACTTAAAATAATTCTGCAGACTTAGAGAGCCCAAGCATTTCTGGGAACCCTGCCGGCTAACGGGGGGGGTGGGGGGTGGCACTCATTGGGCGCGGCCACGCAGGTTGCTAGACACCTGTGATGCATTGCTGCTTTTACTGCTGGATGCCGGCTCATCCTTGGCTGACACCTTCTGCTTCTTGTTCATCCCTGAAAACATCAGCAAGACAATCATTTAGGAGCAAAGCTGCACGACACAGCTCAAAACGCACTCTGTCCACATGGCAAAGTTCCACTGCAGCAAAGGTTGGGTCGCGTGAGGCCACTGGCAGGGACAGTGACTGTGTCCTCGGTACCCGGAGTGGAGGGTCGGGGGGGGTCAGAGGCCCTGGTGGAGGTAGGAAGCAGACAGGCCTGCGTTTTTCTTTGCATTGGACCAGGAACAGGAAATTCTCTCGCATACATTGGAGACAGTAAGAAAATTCTTAAAATTTGGTTTAAAGGGCTTTTAGACCCGTTTTTTCATTCTTACCATCTGGTTCGCAGAAGGAGACGGTAAGGGGTTGGAAACACGAACAATATGAAAAATAGTTATAGCCCTGGCTGGTTTTGCTCAGTGGATAGAGCATCGGGCTGTGGACCAAAGGGTCCCGGGTTTGATTCTGGTCAGGTCACATGCCGGCTGGCGGGCTCTATCCCCAGTGCGGGGCGTGCAGGAGGCAGCTGATCAATGATTCTCTCCCATCACTGATGTTTCTATCTCTCTTTCCCTCTCCCTTCCTCTTTGACATCAATAAAAATATATTTAAAAAGGAAAAGGCAACCCAAGGAAAAAATACGTATATTTATACTATAAATATATATATACATATACATACATACATATACATATAATACTATATATGTCCCATCCCATGAAGAATGTACTACTTCTCCTAATAAAGAACTATGGAAGTCCTTTTGTCTACGACGCTCAAAGCCTTAGCTTTGACTGTTCACTGTGAAACACTTGAGACATAACCGCAGCGGGAGCCCGTCTGTGTGCGACGCGGTCGACGGCAGCTAGAGCGCCTCTGAAAATGCTCATCCGCTGTTCTGGGAGAGGATGCGTGGTCGCGGTTGGTGGCTGCTGTTTCAGAAGCTTCAGGAGGAGGGAAAGCCATGGACCAACTCCCACCGGGGCGGCTGCAACCTCTCCAGGAGCCTGTCTCTCTCTGCCCCCAGACACTCGGCCCTCAGACCAGCGAGGAAGCCCCTTCATCTCACTGCCATGTTCCTGACATTTTTCCTGATCAAAGACACCAGGAATTTGCTGACAGCTCTGGACCCCCTACACAGACAATGAACATTCTCCTGGATTTTACATCCATTTGTACCCCCACGGTCCTGTCCCTGAGCCCATCGAAGGGGCCTACAAACCAGCTTAAGAAGCAGAAAATCAGAGTCTTTGATGATTTGCTGTGTTTTTCTTATCTATAATGAGGCTGTCTTATGTAAAGTGGTCTCACATTAGTTTTATTGTGTCCTGCTTCAATACGATGTAGAGTCGGGTTTCTACTGGTTTTAATTATTTCCTCCGTTGAACTAGGTCACTGCATTGCCCATGCTACCTTATTCTTCCTAATATTACTGATTTTCCTGGTGTTATTTTGGCGCATTGTACTTTCCAAATTGCTGCAACAGTATTTCTCAGCCCTGTGCTTTCCTGCCATGTGGTCTGCCTCCCTTTCCTCGGGAGATGGAGGCTAATCCCCAACCTGGACCACAGAGGGCTTGTGATGCTCTGACCAACAGTGCAGGCAGGAAGTGACGTCACCCAGCGGCCGAGGCTGCGCCAGGAAAGGCAGACGGGGTCTACCTGGTGCTCCTAGGAGACGTGCTCTGCCCCAGGTAAGGGCAAATCACTGAGCACAACCTGCTGTCACTGAAAATGCCTGAACCAGGGCAAAGGAATGAGACCGGAGGCCTGGCCTACGCTCACCTGGTTACCAGACCCTCCATATACCCTTTCCTACCAGGGGGTCTTACCATCCAGGCACCCAGAATGCACTCCTGGGTGGGTTAACGTAATCATGTAAACACACACACACACACACACACACACACACAGAATGCACTCCTGGGGCGGGTTAACGTAATCACGTAAACACACACACACACACACACACACCCAGAATGCACTCCTGGGCGGGTTAACGTAATCACGTAAACACACACACACACACACACACACACACAGAATGCACCCCTGGGCGGGTTAACGTAATCACATAAACACACACACACACACACACACACACACACAGAATGCACCCCTGGGCGGGTTAACGTAATCATGTAAACACACACACACACACACAGAATGCACCCCTGGGCGGGTTAACGTAATCACGTAAACACACACACACACACACACACACACACAGAATGCACCCCTGGGCGGGTTAACGTAATCACATAAACACACACACACACACACACACACACAGAATGCACCCCTGGGCGGGTTAACGTAATCACGTAAACACACACACACACACACACACACACAGAATGCACTCCTGGGGCGGGTTAACGTAATCACGTAAACACACACACACACACCCCCAGAATGCACCCCTGGGCGGGTTAACGTAATCACATAAACACACACACACACACACACACACACACACACACACAGAATGCACTCCTTGGGCGGGTTAACGTAATCACGTACACACACACACACACACACACAGAATGCACTCCTCGGGCGGGTTAACATAATCACGTACACACACACACACACACACACACACAATGCACTCCTGGGGCGGGTTAACGTAATCACGTAAACACACACACACACACACACACACACACAGAATGCACTCCTGGGGCGGGTTAATGTAATCACGTACACACACACAGACACACACACAGAATGCACTCCTGGGGCGGGTTAATATAATCATGTAAACACACACACTCACACACACACAAACACACACACACACACACACGAACACACACACACATGAACACAGAGGCAAAACCAACTATATGTGCAGGTATATGAATGTAAGACAGGAAACATATCAAACACAGGTTGTAGACCAGGAGGAGAAAATTTCATTTGTTACTAATGACTTTATATTTAAACAGAACAAAATATTATTTTTGAAAATGACACTGATCCCTGAAACATATTCCAAAACAAATTAAAAGAAAAAGAAGAAATTACCCCGAATTCCACCACGTGAGGGGAGTCATTGCTAACAACTTGGTGACCCTTCCTTCTGTATTCTGAACTGACCACACTCCTCTCAGCTTGTGCTTTCGATTGCTTCTAAGACAGTTTTTCCCCCAGAATTTCATCAAAATAGTACCAACAAGTTGCCAACGAGTAGGATGATTTTAAGGGCATTTTTTCTAACCCTACAATTTCCATACTGTTTAAAACTTCTCTATGGGATATATAATAATGCAAAGAAAAGAAGTTGGCATGTTATGGACTTATACTCAGGGATCGTGAAGTGATATGTCTTTAATTGTGGACAGAATACATATAGAAACTACTGATCCAAAATTAAAATTGATCTTGAAATTGACAGAATACATATAGCTTCTTGGACCTTAAGGGGATTATTATACATTCATCTTGAAATGCACACTTTCTTTTGCTTCTGACATTGATTTAAAAAAAGTAATCCAAATACGTCAAATAAGATTCAGTCACTTGTTAGGAAATCGTGCCTGGCATATACAACAATAAGGAAATGAAAACCTAGCCCATGGTGAGGTCAGATGTGAAATACAAGCTCACCTGAGTAACCAAATGATATGCTTGACATTGGACTTAGGTAGATTCCGCTGCCGTACATGGCACCGTGGAGCTGCAGGGGGGAGATGGGAGAGAAAGCGATGGTTTCCGATGTTACTATCTTACGAAAGGGGCCATCGATCTCAGGGGGGAGCACTGGCCGTTAGGAAATGACAAAGCGCTTACGGCCAGGTCTAATGTGAAAAGAGCAACACTGAGAGCCTTGTCCTTAACGTTCAGGGTAAGTGACATCTGGGAAATGCCGGCCAGAGGAACAGCCCTTCCCATCGGCGGTGACAGAGGCCGCTTCCTGTAGACCATGGTCGTGGGCTTTGGTGCTAATGAGTCTAAAATTCTGAAAACGATCCAGGCTGACACACGTGCGAGGATCTGGACACGAACCCACTTGCTCGTAAGCCGAAGGGCCCTGCTCCGATGTGCACTGTGCACAGGGCCTCCCACTTTAGCCTGCGCGTCTTCACGTCGCCGAGTTCCATCCGCGGAAACTCTAAGTGGTCGGAGAAACGCCTCCGCACGAGGAACGTCTTTCTCAGTGTCGGTACGTTCTCGGGCCTTGGCACCCTCTTCGGTGCGAACTGAACCTGTGAGCGTGACTGCAATCGAGTCATCTCAGCTGATCAGCGCGTGGGGTCCGGCGTGTGGGACCCGGTGCTGGGGCGACCCCCTCGTTTCCTGACCCCCACATCCTCAGGTGAAATAGCCTGGGACAGTGGGGATGCGGGCTGGAGGGGTGAATGACGAGGCCTGTACCCCGTGTGCTGCCCGCACCAGTGTTGCCTGAGGCTGGACAGCAGGCCGAGGGCCTGTGGCGTCCACGCTAGCCCCCCCCTTTCCTTCCCTCGCTCACCCCGAAGCAGTGCTCCAAACACGTGTGTTACACAGACAGAGGATGCACGGAGGCTCTTACTGGTGCAGGAGAGCTGTTTCTACCTAAGTTCCAAGCGATCTTCTCATGGGCAAGCCAACCTTTCTGCTTGCTCAATTATGAAGACTACTTACGCCTCCTACGAATCCCACGGACTTTAAAAATATCCATATATTTTCTCTCTTTCCAAGTAAAACCTTAGCCCCGGGTTGCTCACCAAGCTGCAACCCTGAGGAATGATGAGGGCGCACTCGGGGAGGCTCAGAGACTCACCTGCAGCCTCGTGTTAGACGCCACGACCAGGCCGTTCCTCAGGATCGAGTGCCAGTTCTCAATGTGGGAGCCGCTGGAACGGGGGGGGGGGGGGGGGGGAACAGACATAATCAGAAATCAATGATCTTTTAAAAACAACAATAAAAAACACAAGTCATGGCGCCTTCTGAAAGTCATGCGTTTCCAGGTCGAGTGTTATGTGTAGCTGGCTGCTCAGAGTTCAGAGTCAGTGTAGCCAGCTCCGCACAGAGGTTCCTCCCCACCCAGGGCGGCAGGAGCCCCCCCACCCCCCCACCCCCCACTGAGCACTGAGCCCCAAGCACTCACTGAAACGCGAAGGTGCTGCCGAAGAGCTTCTTAGCAGCTCTGAAGTTGGATTCTTTGGCTGGTGGGCTGCTGAGAAGCAGGAACTGATGGGGCGTGTGCATGAACTTCAATTGCTGCCAGTGAGAAGGAGGACAAACGGGAAAATGCTCAACGCAACACGCAATCGGCTGCTGACAATTTCAAAGTTTACCGGTTTCAGAACTAGCTAGCTTCTCACCACCAAGAATTTAGGTTAATCACATTAACAGAACCATTGATTAACAAAAACAAAAACCCAACCCTGTATACATGACAAGTCATGGAATTGCCCATACAGAGGACAATTCTTTAGGCCAGAGGTTCTCAACCTGTGGGTCACGACCCCTTTGGGGGTCGAACGACCCTTTCACAGGGGTCGCTAAGACCATCGGAAAACACATCTATAATCACATATTGTTTTTGTGGTTAATCACTATGCTTTAACTATGTTCCATTTGTCACAATGACATTGGGGGTCACCACCACATGAGGAGCTGTGTTAAAGGGCCGCGGCGTCAGGAAGGTAGAGAACCACGGCTTTAGGCTAACAGAAAAAAGACCAGAAGCCAACACGTCATTTTTGTTTAGATCTGCCTTCCTAATTACATTCCTTCTTAAGAATTTTAGTATTGAATTCCCTACGTGCGCACTAGCTACTCAACTGGGGAAACCGGCCGAGAGTTTGCTAGGCAAGAAAGAAGTTAGGTCAAGCGGTTTAAACAGCAAAAATGACCATCATCATGCTGCGTTTGCATATATTTATGAAATTGGAAATGGCCTACATTCAAATATTGCCTCCTGCTTTGTTCAGAGAAAATGCAAAACGGAACATTTTGGGATAAGTTGGTCGCCTTGCACCGAGGAAGAGAGGGATGCAAGAGAGGGCTCTGCAGGTTCGAGAGTCACACACGGGGAGCTGAGAGTACGGGAACCACTGCTCTCGGGGACGGTCAGAGCTGAACGCAGTCTATTAGCTTGCACGCTGTTTTGTAAGCGGACGGGGCAGGTCAGAAAGGTACCCGGAGGCATTATCTTCTCCAACACAGAAAAGCAGGGCTGCGCCTGCAGGAGGCCGACCACGAGAAAAGGCAACGGCCTCCTTCTGGCCCGTCCCCAGGGGACAGTCTTCCTACCACCTTTGGAATAACTGCCTCAAACGGACTCTGATTTACTTAAAAGGCCAGGGCGTCAGCCGGCACTGGACGTGGCATCTGGGAAAAGCTTGAAGATGGTGCCGATACGGCGGCAGCTTCACCCTGCAGCGCTGGCCTTGACCCGAGTCTGGTTTAATTTCCCAGGGAGGCTGCAGACTCCCACAGGGCCAGCCCTCCCCGCCAGCGCGGCCTCCCATGCGTGGGGACATGCGAAAAAGCAACTTACCCTGTTGACTGGCAGTTTCACAATATGTGACCTATTACTTGAAATAACCCTGAAATCAATTAAAACAATCCATCAGTCAAGAACATTTGCCGAATATATTTAAAGTTTTATTCCTGAGTTGGCGAGTGATTGAAACGTACTTTTACTGTGACATAAAGTAAACTGGGTAATCATTTTATTTAATTACATCATTTTGCTTTGCTTCCTGAAGCAATTTAAAGAGCTTACATAACAAAATGATATTTTAATCTGGGAATACGTTAGTCATTTCTTCTATAAAGCTTAAGAAATAATTTTTAATAATCACAATCTCAAAAATCAACAAAATTAACACCTCTGAATATACTTCAAATAATGATAATCTGAATATTACAAAGATCAGAGGCTGATCCATCATCTGCTTCCTTTGTCCCTCCCAACATTACCTAATTAAAAATACATTTTAATGAAGACCTTTTTCCTTGAGTACCTGAGAATCTCTTCAGGCTGACATATACAATGATTTACATACAGAGTGTGACTCAGCATTAGACACTGAAGCGGAAAAGGTTAAATTCAGGTATCCGAAAGAATTGGTTCATGTACACAAAATAATAAGCAGGGAAAATGGCAAAACATTTTGGTAACATTTTTTAACCTTGAAAGAGGATTGACAACTAATGAAAGGTTATTAATCAGGCTGACTTCAGGGGGAAAAGAGGTGAGGCAGCTGAGATCTGTATGTGATATGACTAATGCGAGAACTTTAAAAATTAAAATGAAAACTATAGGTTGTTTTACTGAACTCAGGATTTTAATAACGGATCATAAAACATTCAAAGAAGGGAGATTTCTAAACTTAATTTTTGTCCCAGTCTCATTAGACTAAACTCGATGTGTCCTGTAAAATTCTGACTAAGTGAAAGTGAAGCCATCAGAATCCTGGGGTACCCAGAGTCTGTTGCCTTCTCCCATCTTTCCATATTCTGTAAAGACTTTCTGGCTGGAGATGGAGTGAATACTACTCGCACCCACCTCTCAGAGTGTATGCTTGCATTACTGCATGGTAACTGTGGGGAACCCCGCAGTCTGAGTGTTCAGAAACCTTGAAGAGACACGTACGTAAACCCTTCCACGGATGGTGAGCAGATACTACTGTTTTCATTGTAAAAATGAGAAACCAGCCCTAACTGGTTTGGCTCAGTGGATAGAGCATCAGCCTGGGGACTGAAGGGTCCCAGGTTCGATTCCGGTCAAGGGCATGTACCTTAGTTGTGGGCACATCCCCAGTAGGGGGTGTGCAGGAGGCAGCTGATTGATGTTTCTCTGTCATTGATGTTTCTAACTCTCTATCCCTCTCCCTTCCTCTCTGTAAAAAATCAATAAAATATATATTTTTAAAAATGAGAAACCAGCGGGCAAATGATTTGAATGGCGCTGTGCAAGGTGGGTCGCCCACCGCCTCCCCTGGTAGCCTGGCCTCCTTCCAGGGTCCCTGACCAGCCTCCTCCCCTGCTGTCCTCAAACGAGGAGCTCATCCCAGGTGCACGGTCCTTGTAAGGGGGCAGATTCCACCCACACACATTTCAGACAAGCGGTCCACAGTGAGCGAGATGTACCACTTAGTCCTCAGCTAGAAAGTTAAATAAACCGAAAACTGCTTCCCCATCACCCGGTTCGTGGTGTTTTTTACACGACAGTCAAACCGCTGTCAAACTGGCTGTGCGTCCACTCGGCCCCGACTCAGTGAGGGGCGAGGTCTAATGACAGCGAGCCGGGAGACTGGCGGTGAAATCACAGCCCCAGAGGCCTGCACCGGGAGCCCTGCAGGTTCCGTAACACAGGCCTCCCCCCGAGCAGGTGGAGGAAGGGCGGTTTTCAGGAAGAGAATGGAAATGCGATACCATTGCAGCAAGGGGTGCGCCAGCGGGTCCTGCTTGTCCATCTGCTTCTTGATCTCCAGATACGGGGCCTGAAAAAGTCATTGCACGGCTTGATCGTCCTTAAAACTCCCTCTCCTTCCCTTTTCACAAAAGAAAACTCAGACTGAGCAGGCAGGTATGCTTCCATCTAGCGACGCTTGAAAGACTGCGGGTGACATGGTGACAGCCACCATCACCCAAGCCGCTCCCCTGCCACCGCACTCACCGCACATCCCGCTGAGACCTGAGCCTGGCTTCCCTCACTCGGCCAGGTCCCTACGGGGGACCCCAGGCCCCGCTGGGCCTCCGCTCAAGGACACCAAGGCTGCCACGCCACAAACCCACGAGGCCTAACTGTTCAGTAATTCCCCACTGACCCTCCTAAACCCCCTGCCCCCACAGTCCTCTTTCCACTCCCCATAACCCTGGCCCCTGGCTGTCCTCTGTTAAAGCGTCAGCCCTCTGTCCCCGGAGGTGAGCTGGCTCCTCCGCAGGCCTCCAGTGACATCTGCCCTGCGCCTTCAAGGGTCCCTCCTGGCCGGTCCTCTGGGACAGTGACAGTTCTCAGCTAACATGGAAGCAGAACCTGCAATAGCTACGACTCAAGCTCAGATGTGAGGTAGCAACTTAGGTGTAGATCTTTGCATGAAAAAAAAAGGCAAAATCTACCTAAGAAGAGCCCTTCTCTTACGAGCATTTAAGGGCATTTACCGGTCACAGAACCAAGGGCGATCCGTCTGGGACACGGTAGGTCTATGTGGAGGACGTCCATGCTAGAAAACAGGCGTGTGGTGTGATGGTTATGCGGAGAGGTTTGAAGAAGGTGCCCACGAAACCTGACAGCACCCCACGAGGTGCCCGCGAGAGAGGGTGCAGTTACGTTCACTATCTTGACGGGAGTGGAGGCATCAGCGACAGAGCGACTGCCCGAGGTCACGGGCCACATCACTGATGAGCAAGTTCTGCAAAGCGGGCCTCGGACTGGGCCTCCTGGGCTGACTCAGCCGTCTCCGCTGCCTCCACTGCCAGAATAAAGGACGCCACTCCCGCCGGAGCCGACCCGGAGCCGACCCGGACCCGACCCGGACCCGACCCAGACCCGACCCGGAGCCGACCCGGAGTCGACCCGGAGCCAGGGGGCAGTAATTTTTATATCCAAGAGTGACCTGGGTCCGGGGTGGAGTGTAAATATCCCGCACAGAGTCTCTGGTGACCAGAGCTGCCCTTTGAGTGAAATGCTGCAATAGGTGGAAATGCATTTCGTTTTATTTTCCTTCTGCAAATATATTTGTTAGAACCGAATCCACATAATACATAAAGGTGGGGGCATGGAGAAGCAACTGCCAAGGATGCCGAATGAGCAAGGAACGCGCCGTGGGAGTTCAAGGCTCTTGTTTGCCCAGGCCTGGCACGGACCACTTGTGAATGAATGGAGGCATGTTTGCCTGCATGAGTAACTAACTATCCAGAGCACCCATAATCAAAGTTGGGAACGCAAAGGCGCACTTTTGAAGCACGTGCTCATAGACTACAGATGATGGGGGCGGGGGTAGGGGGGGCGGAGAGTGGAGCAAAGCCCGTCCCCTCCCCACCCGGGACTCCCTCCTGGAGAGAGGAAGTGACCCAGGTAACAACGCTCATCAGCCCACGGGCGTCTCTGGGTGTGCCCGCCTTGAACCTGAGCCCATCACGTGTGTGGCTGTCCATCTGAGATGATTCATTTCTATTTAAAATGATGAGTTTGAAACCTCTCCCCTAATCTTGGTCAGGGGACCGGGCCCCGTCATTCACGGGCATGCACTTTTCCAAGTGCCGGACCGCACACAGCCCGGTGACATGTCAGCCTCTCACCACGAACCCCGGTCCTCGCTCACCAACTTTCCCACCAAAGCCTCTCTCCTAAAGGCCAGAAGCAGAGCTCAGACCCTCAGGGGTCTGCTGTCTTCCAGAGCTGTTTGGAGGTTCCGTATCACGTCTAAAATATTTACCTACAATTTAAATTTGGTAAAATATTTGTTTTTACCATTGAAATGACGTTTTGAAATTATTCCCACTGATTAAAACTGACCGTCTAGGGCAGTGGTTGGAAAACTGCAGCTCACGAGCCACATGCGGCTCTTTGGCCCCTTGAGTGTGGCTCTTCCACAAAATACTGACTTCTGCGCATGGGCCATGAAGTTTTAATCGCACTGTACGTGCGGGCCCACACGTGGTATTTTGTGGAAGAGCCACACTCAAGGGGCCAAAGAGCCGCATGTGGCTCGCGAGCCGCGGTTTGCCGACCACGGGTCTAGGGAGAGGGTGCCAGACTTAACCTCTGACATCCCGCCACGCCTCCACGTACACCAACAGAGGCAGCACGCCACACACCGGTGCGGTTTAATGAAAACGCCTCGGCACAGCACCGCTTCAATGTCTCTACGGCTTTAACTATGTCCCCAGGTAACAGAGAGTCTGCGTGGCACTCAGTCTGTTTTCCCCTCTCAGACATTTTTCAAATAAGATTTTACTCCAGCAAAGCGGAACTGCCCAAGCCCACAGACGACACTCTTACCTGCGTCATTTCTCTAATAGAAGTGATGCTGTCCAGTGCTTTCATTACTCGATCATAATTCTTCTTCTGTGGGAATGGAAAAAAATAGTATTTTTGAAAGTCTGCACGTTACTGGAGAAACATACGATCTCCGTGCACGGATTCTCCATAATGACCGCGCTGTGCACGTAAAGGGAAGGCTAAGAAGATGGCCCAAGGATGCAGGACTTATCATGAGACGAGAGGGAAGAAAAGGAGAAAGCAACGCCAGGCCCCATAAAGCACATGAAACCATGCCCAGCCCAGAGGGGAGAAACTGTAAATACAACAAAGACGCTGTGTTCCTGATTCTGCCTTTCAACTCCAAAAAATGACGGCCCGATGAATAAATTAAGCATAGAATCCTTCTAAAATACAAAACCCACTTGGAGTTTCACAATTTCATTTTGCTTTTATTTCCGTTTGATCAGAAGATTGTTACCCAAAAGGGATGGCTGACAGGTGTGTAAACACCACCATACACGCCACTGATCATTCATTTGTGAGCATAATGCAAGTGTGTAATGTACGCTGCTTATGAGGACAGAAAATTTTCCCCCGGAAATTTTATATGGTCCTTGTTTCTAGAAAATGCTTTCCATATGAATAGTTAGAGAAATTAAGGCAATTTTAGCTGTCGCACAATTTGAAATTTTTATTTCAGGAGGGTTCTGCCTCATAGCCATTAATATTTATAAAAGAGTTTTCTCAAGAAATGCCAGCAATCGACACTATGAAATGCATTATCACTAACCTTCAGATAACCTAGGGGTGGGGAGGGCAAGGAACTACACCGAAAATATAACAGAAAAGGGGACATTTGTCCTTTTCATACATGATTCTCATAAGGAGTTATGTAAGTTAGAATCTCAAAAACTATGTAATGGAATTAAAACAATCCTATTGACCATTATCACTATCAACCAATGTCTGAGCAATATTTACTACAGCTGTTCACCGACCTGCCATGCCCATTTGGGAGTGTAAAGGTCAAACTGTGAGAGAATTCACGGGCTTACTTCCATGAAGATGAAGCTCTGGAAGTGATGTGACAGGGAGCAGGACATGGGAAGGGTGGATGGATAGGGAACGGGACATGGGAAGGGTGGATGGACAGGGAACGGGACATGGGAAGGGTGGATGGATAGGGAACAGGACATGGGAAGGGTGGATGGATAGGGAACAGGACATGGGAAGGGTGGATGGATAGAGAACAGGACATGGGAAGGGTGGATGGACAGGGAACGGGACATGGGAAGGGTGGATGGATAGGGAACGGGACATGGGAAGGGTGGATGGATAGGGAAGGAGTGGGACATGGGAAAGACGGAGCAAATCCCGTCAGCAGAAAAGGAACCGGGGTTCCGGAACGGATAGAGTCCCTGCGGTCACGGGCCTGCTGGGGGAGGCAGCGATTAGACGGGAGAGGACACGGAGGAGCCGGCATTCTCAGCCGTGGAAGGAAGCCGTGAGCGTCGGGGCTACTCACCCTGGGGTTGAAGGCCAGCATCTGAGGGTCGTTGGGGTCGACCACGGAAGGGTATGGCTCGAAAATGACCACTTTCCTGGGAGATTCCAACGCAGACCTGCACATGGACACCAGCAGGTCCACCACCTTCAAACACACACAGGGGACGGTTACCAACCTCCCGGCTTTGCCAGGCGCCTGGCCTGTGGCTCCCTCTCACGGTGGTCGGTCAGGGGAGATTCAGGATTGCTATCGGCCCCTCAAATCTGCCTGTGAGACTAGACCAGATTCAACCACAGCTGACCATTAACGTAAAGCAGCGGTTCTCAGCCGGTGGGTTGCGACCCCTTTGGCAGTCGAACGACCCTTTCACAGGGGTCGCCTAAGACCATCCTGCATATCAGATATTTACGTTTCGATTCATAACTGTAGCAACATGACAGTTATGAAGTAGCAACAAAAATAATGTTATGGTTGGGTCACAACATGAGGAACTGTATTTAAAGGGCCAGAAGGTTGAGAGCCACTGATTTAAAGGAATACCACCTGTTGTTTCCAATTACTCAGTCCTCATACCCCTTCAACAGTGTTAAGTATACGTATGTAACTTTAAGTTGTGGACCATCTGCCACGCTACTCCTTGCCACCACTGTACGTTGTTAAAATATTATAGGACTGCAGAGTATGTTTTTGTACAGGGATGGCCTAGCCTCCCTTACTTAGCTTTTTTTCTTTTTCTATGACTTTTCCTTCTGGATTCATTAGTAATTTAGTTACGCTCCATAAATGAATAAAAACACAAAGCCAATTGAAATTCTGAAGGAACTGCGGGCAGTCATACACTTAGGCATCTTCCTAATTCATTTTCCTTCCAGAAACAGGGACGGCTTCTCTGCCTCCGCACGGCCTTTTTATCGGCTTTTCGACTTTTCTTCCTCTGCCATAAACCCCGGGACTGTCAAACCGAGGGCTCTTTCTGACAGGCTCTGCCCATTTTCTTCTGGTCTGGTTCTAAAAACCAATAGCGCCCTGTTTATGGCGCCACAGCCCACAGGTAAGTCTCCCGTAAGGCCTGTGGCGGCTCCCGGGCCAGCGTCACCCCGTGGGAAAGCATCGCACCGCTTCCCACGCCACAGGCGCGGGCCAGGCCTCCCTGGGCACCTGCGACACGACCGTCAGGCTCGGACGGACAGGACAGGCCGTGCCTCCCGGGGCCAGCGGCCAGTCTGCTTCACCCGCAGCCATCAGACACGCGCCCGAACAGCAGGTGCAGACAGCTAGCGAACCGGAACCAGGTCTGCGCATCCAGGTCAGGAGGGACCGGGTCCCCGGCGGTACCTGGGCCCCGGTGGCGATCTCGTCGGCGGCCTCGTTCATCACGCCCAGCGTCTGGAAGGCGAACACGCACAGCTCGCGCTCGCACACGGTGGGCTGCAAGGGAAGGGGCGCGTTACCGCCTGCCGGCCCAGCTCCCGGCTCCAAAGGGACGGTGTCCCGGGTGGCACGTGGGAAAGGGAAAGGCTGAGACGGCCGAGGAGAAAGGCCTCACAGCGCGTCACTTCATGGAGATGTCTCCGCTGGAGTCACAACCGGTAAGTAACCGCTGGCGGATCCAGTCACAGACGGGCTAGGAAATCCGTGTCGGCGAGGCGTGGGCACCTGCACCGGGAATGCTTGAGCGGTAGACAAAAACATCCTTCAACTGCCCTGGCCGGTTTGGCTCAATGGATAGAGCATCAGCCTGCAGATTGAAGGGTCCCAGGTTCGATTCTGATCAAGGGCACAGGCCCTGGGTTGCGGGCTCAATCCCCTGGGTGGGGCGTGCAGGAGGCAGCCAATCAGTGGTTCTCATCACTGATGTTGCTCTCTCTCGCCCTTACTCTCTGAAAATCAATAAAAATATATTACATACATATATATACGCACATACATACATATATATATCCTTCAATTGAAAAGCCCATCTCTCCTGCCTCATATGCACTCGCACATGAGATGTATAAAAAGCACAGCCCTAAGCTGCACTGACAAGTACAGTGAAACCCCGAATCCCGTAAAAGGAATAAGAAAGGAGGCCACCTTCTCCTAAGTCAGTGGTCGGCAAACCACGGCTCACGAGCCACATGCGGCTCTTTGGCCCCTTCAGTGTGGCTCTTCCACACAATACCGACTTCTGGGCATGGGCCACGAAGTTTCAATCGCACTGTACGTGTGCGCCCGCACGTGGTATTTTGTGGAAGAGCCACACTGAAGGGGCCAAAGAGCCACATGTGGCTCGTGAGCTGCGGTTTGCCGACCACGGTCCTAAGTCATTGTCTTTGGGAGAAGCACGACTCTGCTCACTTGCTCCCCAGCTCTTGAAAGATGGGTTTTGTCGCCAAGATTTTCGACTTCCATAACCTCCCGACGTCACGGCCCTGAGACATAGGCCGTGCCACTGCTCCGAAGAGCGCCCATCTCTCAGGTCGGACGCAGTGTCGCGTGATTTATCTTTTCTCCGAGTCACGGCGCGTTAGGCAGCCGATGGGGCCGAACGCGGTGCCATCCCCGGCCGCCGCCCACTCGGCAGAAAGGCATCGTTAGTGCCGCTGCCCCTCTGCCGGCTCCTCTCAGAGGCCACTGGCCTCCGCTCGCGGCCGGGAAGGCCGGCCCCACTCGCAACACCCTTTCTGGTCGGAATGCGCTCCTGGGCGGCTTTGTGGACGTGGAGCGTAACCAGTCACAAAGGTTTCTGGCTGATGTTCCCCTAAGAAAATTTTTTAAAAAACGATCTATTTCCTTTGCCAGTCTTAAATGTGCAGTTTGATTCCATTTCAGAAACATTGATTTTAGAGAGAAAAAGTATGGGAGGGGGTGGGGGAGAGAGATAAGGGGAGAGGAAGAGAGAGAGAGAGAAGAGAGAAGAGAGAGAGAGAGAGAGAGAGAGAGAGAGAGAGACTTGTTGTTCCACTTATTTATACATTCCCTGGCTGATTCTTATATGCGCCCTGACCTGGGATCAAACCCACAAACCCTGGCGTATCAGGACGATGCTCTAACCAATGAGACACCCAGCCAGGGCTTACTATTACCTGCCTTAGTGTTCTGTTATGATAGTGCCTTCAAGCAGTGAGGTCCTATGATCTAAACTGTAAACCTAGGGCCAGGGCCTCTCACCACTGTACATCATATTTGCAACTTAGTTCTTAATTCGCTAAAATCTTTCTTGCTAAAAAAGAAACTAGAAACACAGAACCCACAGGCCTTTGGTTCTCTGTCTTTCTGGCTGGAGCATCCATGCTTCGGGCTCTTCTCCTGTCCTGGAGGACAGACACATTGGGGCGGAAGAGGTTTATTGGACCTTGAGAGAGACAGGAATGCCACAGGGACAAGGACCCCTCCCACTGAGACAGGACCAGGACGGGACCCTCGGCACCTGGCATCCTGCTGTCTCCGACAGCTAGCTACTGAGCAGAGCTTAATTTCTACTGTTTGGATGTAAAAAAAAAAATCACATTTTTGAACTATTCTTGGTATGATTTTTACTTAGTTTAGCCTGTATCTCAGACCTTGAAGTCTTAACTTTCGCATGTGGGGAAACAGGGAAGGTATAGAATGTGCTTCTCCATCCATTTTTCGAATATTAAAGTCAGACCTCACACAGACCTGGTTATTCTCCTCTCGGGAGGTGAAAGGGGCCACACCCAGGTCTATCCATGGGCTCTGTTTCTTAAGAGTTTTCATGGGACGCCTTAACGTAGGACCACATCGTCACCGGTTAATTTCACCCTGAAGATAAGAGCTTCAGGGAAGAACTCGGTCTAAGGCCCACACTAAGGTTGGATACACAAGACGATAGCGTCTCAGGTTCCTCAGTTGACTCGGCCTTGGCAGGACCGGGCCTGCTTCTCACGCGAGGAGAACGGACTCCCAGCGCGGACCGGTCCCCCCAGGGCAGGGGATCGCCCCGGGCACGCGGCCGGAGCCTGAGCGAGGTCAGTGCTCCCATCAGGAGCTGCTCTGGAGAACGGAAAGGTCCCCGAACCAGGGACACACGGGATGCACGTGTCCACGGCAGGCTTCCCCCTTCGCAGGACCACGACCCACACAGCCACGCGCTTTCCTCCAGGAGCTCAGCAGCTCGCGTGCAGGGAGCCGAGAAGAGCCACCGCACTGACCCCGGGCTGGCGCGTGCGACAGAGAGAAGGGCACGGGGAGTTCAGAGGATAACACGGTGGCCGACTCGGTCAGGGAAGCTTTCCTGCTTTGCAAAAACACGAGCCGTGTAGCTCGACATTTGAAAGCATCTTTAAGGCAGCCGCCGTGTTAACACTCCAGTTGGTCCCAAAACGTCCAGAACCAATGATCTGGTTTGGGTTTGGTTTTCTGATCAGGATCCAAACTTCGATGCCAAACTGGGCAGTCGGGCATCTCTGGCCAGTCCTCCTGGTGTTGATGTGGGTGCAGAGCAGAAGTGCTACCTGGCAGAGTGCAAGCCCGGGAGTGGCGTTTATGAACTTCGTAAACAAAGAGAAAACTGGCGTTCTGGTCTTTCTAAGGAGGAGGTCTAGCTCCCCGTGAAGTAGGAACTGTGACCTGCTGGCCCAGGCCGGAGCAAAGGGGCAGAACAGCACACGAAGATTACACTCTGGGAATTTTTGAGAGACTTTTGTCATATAATAAAAACAGGTTTGGAGAAAAGAGAAAAATATGTAAGCAACAGGGTAAATGGTGAAATAGAAATAGCTAACACAGATGAGATTAGATCTATGAAAACCCAAGAATTTTATCTAATTCTAGTGAAACTACTGCAATCAATGTAAGAAAGAGAGAAAATGAGTGACCCTGAGTTAGGAGAAATCTTTAACAGAATCAAAGGGCAGAGTTCTTCCTCTCTCGTTCTCTTCTTTTGAAAATGAAATGTTTGGGGGGGGTTTTGTTTTTGTTTTTTTTTAATATATTTTTATTCATTTCAGAGAGGCAGGGAAAGGGAGAGAGAGATAGAAACATCAATGATGAAAGAGAATCACTGATCGGCTGCCACCTGTACGCCCCAAACTAGGGATCGAGCCTGAAACCCAGGCATGTGTCCTGACCAGGAATCGAACCACGACCTCCTGGTTCCTAGGTCGATGCTCAACCACTGAGCCACACCAGCCGGGCATGAAAATGAGATTTTTTTAAAATTTTCATTTCGTGATCTGATTTCATAGGTCACTTACCTTACTATTTAAGAAACCAACGTAATTTTCCTGATTTCCTTAGATACCAGTCTGAACTACAGCAACATAAAACCAAGTGATAGCTAGCTATGCTGGTGAAGATGTGGAGAAACTGGGACCATCATACTCTGTCGGTAGGAATATGAAATGGTCAAAGACGTTTGGTAGTTCCTCAAAAAGTTAAACTGAGTTAACATATGTCCCAATAATTCCAGTAACCGATGATAGAAAAACAAATGTTGAACATCCATATACTACATTATCCCTCTCTATATAAAAGCCTAAGTGACTGGTAAGACCAAATGACTGGAACAACGGGTCGACCAGTCGCTATGATGCGCACTGACCACCAGGGGGAAGACACTCGATGCAGGAGCTTCCCCCTGGTGGTCAGTGCGGTCCCACAGCCAACCTCCCGCAGCCCCTCCCCCATGCAGGCCTCCTGCGGCCCCTCCCCCCCAGCTGGCCATCCCCCTCCTGTGGCCCCTCCCCCTGGCCAGCCCAGCCCTGATGTGCCCTGATCACTGGCCAGGCTGAGGGACCCTACCTGTGCACGAATTCATGCACTTGGCCTCTAGTCCCACCACAGAAGGAATAAAGTACAGATACGTGCCATGTGGGTGGACCTTGAAAACATTACACTGAGTTAGAGAACCCCAAACAAAGGCCATGGAACACAAGGTTCTATTGACATGAAAAGCCCAGAACAGGCCAATTCTCAGAGATAGAAAATAGACAAGTGGTCGGCAGGGGGTGAGGGGAGGGGAAATGGGGAGTGACCACTAAGCTACAGGGTTTTTTTATGGGTGGTGGGAATGTTCTGGAATGACACAGCAGTAATGGTTGTACAACAGTGTGAATATACTAAGCACCACTGAACTGTACACATTAACATAGTGAATTACATGTTATGCATTTCTTACCGAATTTAACCTCAATAAAAGAATTATAAACAAAGCTTGAAATTGGGTAATTCTCCCCAAAATGCACATGGATTCTTATTTCTATACCCCCTCAACCACCCCCTGAATGTGTCCGTGAGTTGCATCTTTTGAAATTTTACTGATTTTCTGCAAGCTCCTATACAACTCTTCTAACTGCAATACAGGCCACCGTCTCCTCTCTACAGTGAGCATCTTAAATTGTGTGGCTTTGAAGAAATGCTGTTTACAATTCTGTCTCCCTGTTCACCCACATGTGCCTGGCAGGTGACCTATGAGACACACACAGATAAACGAGAGAGGCGACAGGCACATGCAGGAGATATAGGCACATGAACGAAATATGTTCCTGACATGATAGGACTCGCTCTGACATGGATTCCTTCAGACACAGTGACTCCTTGGTCCAAATTATACCCCTTTACCTATGAGATAATCTACTCAACAAAGAGTATTTCCTGTCAGGCAGCTTTTCAGGATTCTGTTTTCTGCCTTCCCCCTTTCCTGACATCCCCACCCCCCCCCCCCCCGACCGCCCCCGACACTGACCCTGAGCATGGGGCCGTTCAGGAACACGTGCCTCTCGTCGCACACCACGCAGTGCTCATTCAGCACGGGGATCCGCTGCTCCGCGAACTCGATGGTCTGCGGGGGCCACAGGGAGGGAATGAGGTGGGCTGACAAGGGGTGTGACACCCACTCCCGGCAGCCAAAGCCGCTCTCCAGCGGGTGGGTGCTGGGCTCTTACCTGCACTAGGAAGCCGCGGTCTCGGATGGGAATGCATTTGGCACCATTTGGCTGTAAAAGCAAAGCAGAACAACAAAACAATTCTTTAACATGGGGAAAGAGGCAGGTTACAGCCTTTTGCTCTGCGCAGCCATGAACGGAAGCAGGCGTGCTCTTTCTAAGATCACCTCTGGCGGGAGCTGAGTCGCTGATCTGACACGGAGGTGGCGGAGTCCCTGTGTGACAGGACACTTTCTGCCATGACCCTTTGTCTGAACTGAGTGAACATGCCCCTTCCTGTTCTAGTAAAATGACTGGCATCTTCCCATAATCACTCACACTTATTTCCTCTATTACTTGGTGTCCAACGCTCCCACCTCCTCATAGTGCATCTCCATCTGATTTTACAATCAGACTAAAATTCTTCCTCCAAAGACAGTGAAGACGGGCACTGAGAAGCGGACAACACTGACCTCTTACATGGTGCTTCAGCTTCACCAGGCAGGAGGCCATGCAGACATCCTCTTGTGCGGAATGTCTGCGATTGTCTTTCCTGGCTGTGACTAACATGCGAAACCTTCTTCTAAGTAACTCTTTGGCATTAAGTCCCAAATGCCCTAATAAGTTTTGGTAAGAAATGGGCTTTAAGGGGCGTCTACATAAAATTACCAATATGTCCCAATACATTTCCTTAACACAAGTATAATCTTAGTAGAGGCCCAGTGCATGAAATTCATGCACTGGGTGGCGGGGTCCCCTCAGCCCAACCTGTACCCTCTTCAATCCGGGACCCCTCGGGGAATGTCCGACAGCTGGTTTACGCCCAATCTCCTAACTGCTTGCCTGCCTGCCTGCCTGCCTGATCGCCCCTAACTGCCCCCACTGCCAGCCTGATTACCCCTAACCACCTCTTCCTGTTGACCTGATCACCTCTAACTTCCCTCCCTGCCAGCCTGGTTGCCCCCAACTGCCTCCCCATGCTGTCCTGGTCACCCCCAACTGCCCCCCCTGCTGGCCTGGTTGCCCCTCACTGCCCCCCCTGCTGGCGTGGTCACCCCTTACAGCCCCCCTTGCTGTCCTGGTCACCCCCAACTGTCCCCCAGCCATCCTGGTGGCCCCCAACTGCCCCCCCACCGACCTGGTTGCTCCTCACTGTTCCCCCTGCCGGCCGGGTTGCCCCCAACTGCCTTCCCCCTCCCCGCCACCAGCCTGGTTGCCCCATGCAGCCTGCTGTTCAGTCGTTTGGTCGTCCCTCACTAACCCCCCTGCCCACCTTGTTGCCCCATGCAGCCTACTGTTTGGTCGTCCGTCTGGTTGTTTCGGTCGTGACAGCCCCTGGCTTTTTATATATTAGGATGGTAAAATGTACAATTTAATTGTAGAAATAAATCTATACAAGAAACACAACTTTCTAAAAACAAATCTTTTCTTTCTGCCATTTCATCTATTGCTAGGTGTTTCCATGTGCACAGTCAAGAGCTAAATACAGTGGCCCCAACACAGATACACACTCGCCAAAAGCAAACAAAACATGTGTCCACTATTTTAAGTAAATTAAATACATAAGATAGGTCTGTTTCTTTACCTGAAATGGACTCTAAGGCAGATCCTTCCAGAGGTAAATTTTGTGTAAGACTGACTCCCAGTGAACACCACCCAAAGTTAACTTTTAATACATTCATCTCCCCCCCTTCCTCGCCACCCCCTCCCCCCCCCGCCGCAGCCCCCCAATAAAGCAGCTTCAGGATTAAGTGACTTGGGGTTTACAGACACCAAGAGCAGCTTCAGGTGAGGCAGAGCTACCGCCACGAATGCTGCTCCTCGCTACAAGCAATGGTGCTAGTAACCCAGCTTTCCTTAGACACGACAGGAAGGACATCACCTGAAGTTCATTATTAGACAAGCCTTGTCCTCCACCACTTAGGTGAGAAAACTAGAGATCAGCTCCACCCACTTCACAAAACATCAAACTTTCAGCCTGCGTAAGGAGATGCTCTGTGAACCCCCTGACATGATACCCTACAGGCCCTAAGAAGTTTTGGTAAGAATGGGCTTGAAGGGACGTCTACCTCAAAGTACCAATATGTTCAAATACATTTTCTTAAGACAAATATAATCAACACTAGGGGCCCAGTGCACAAAATTCGTGCACTGGGGGTGGGTCCCTCAGCCCGACGCGCACCCTCTCCAATCTGGGAGCCCTCAGGGGATGTCCTATTGACTGCTTAGGCCTGCCCCCCGCGGTTCTCTGTTCTCTGTGACCTGCCTGCTTAATGCCACTGCAGGCCCTGGTGTCTGCTCTCTGTGGGGTCCCTGCAGAGGACTGTTTGCCCCTCGCTGCCACGGCCAGGGGCAAGCAGGGCCCTATTGTCTGCTCGCTCACTGTGGGGGACGTTCCCACCCTGGCTTGCTTGCGCACATGCTGGCTCAGAGCGCCTGAATCCCAGGGATGTTCCCGCCCCGCCCCCAGCTTCTCAGTGCCTGCATGTGCAGGCCCAGAGTGTCTGGGGGTCATTCTGGGACCCTGGCCGCTCCAGGCCTACGTGCAAGCTTACAGGCTCAGAGCAGCCTGGTCCTGAAGACGCCCATCCCCGGGACCCAGGCCGCTTGGTGCCGGTGCGCATATAAGTGGCTGCCCTGCCCCTGGCTGCTCTGCACCTGTGTATACAGATTAACCCGCCATCTTTGTTGGGTTAATTTGCATACTCACTCCTGATTGGCTGGTGGGTGTTGCGAAGGTACGGTCAATTGCATCTTTCTCTTTTATTAGTGTAGATGGACATCCCAGCACCAGTTGCAAATGCTCGCTATGCACAACAATACTTACAAAACCCACGGATTTTTAAAAAACAACAGGATTGCACTGCTTTCCTCTACCAGCTCCCTGCCAATGCCCAGAACCCTCCCTGCCACCCTGATTAACCTTTAACTAAAGATGAGAGTTACGCACAGCGGGCTGGGAGGAGGAGGGCGTGAGGATGCCCATGAGCCCTGAGGTGAGGGAGAGCCGCCTGCCCTCGCTGGGCTCCGGGCCGGACTCAGTCCGGGACGCCTTGGGGGCGCCAGCGGGGGCCTTGCCGAGCAGCCGGTGGGCCTTGAGGCCGTACAGTTCCTCCACGCGGAGGCCACTGGGGTAGGACCTGCCCAGCAGCCGCTGGGGCTTCCCGCCAGGCTCGCAGCGCGGGTCCCCCGAGCAGGAGCGAGTCAAGAGCTTGTGGGGCTTGAGGGGGGCGCAGTCCTCCGGCCTGGGGGTGGCGGGGCAGGGCCGGGCCAGGAGTTTGTGCGACTTGAGGGTGCTCACGGCCTGCTCGGCCCTGGGGTCGCTGGACAGGGAGCGGCCAAAGGGCCGGGGCGCCTTGGGGGCGCAGTCCTCGGCCTTGACGGCGCTGGAGCAAGTCCTCCGCAGCAGCTTGTGCGTCTTGGAGATCCCGTCCTGCTCGGCCTTCAGTTTGGACTTGCTCTTCCCGCAGCCGGGGGGCGGGTAGCTGGGCGACCTTCAGAATGGAACCGCAGTGAGTGCATGGCCCAGGGGAGACCGGACCACGGAGGGCCCTGGCCAGGCCCCGTCAGCCCAGCTGCGTGACACACCCCACCTTGTGTGCACACCCCACAGCCCCCCACACACAGCCCCCACCACACAGCCCCCCACACACAGCCCCCCACACACAGCCGCCCACACACAGCCCCCACCACACAGCCCCCCACACAGCCCCCACCACACAGCCCCCCACACACAGCCCCCCACACACAGCCCCCCACACACAGCCCCCACACACACAGCCCCCCGCCACACAGCCCCCCGCCACACAGCCCCCCGCCCCACAGCCCCCGCCACACAGCCCCCCACACACAGCCCCCCGCCACACAGCCCCCCGCCACACAGCCCCCCGCCACACAGCCCCCCGCCACACAGCCCGCCACACACAGCCCCCACCACACAGCCCCCACCACACAGCCCCCCACACACAGCCCCCCGCCACACAGCTCGCCCAGCCACAGCTGTGGAAAGACCACAGGAACTGGAATGTGTTTTCCCTGAAAAGCAAAACAGGTTACCAGGACTTCCCTCTCCTACTTATCCCAGAGCCCTACACGGAGCTACTGTAGGTGGAGGAAACTGCGATTACAAAGCCACGGATGCAATCTGAGTCCATTTAAGAAACAAAACTCTGGCCCTAGCCGGGTTGGCTCAGTGGATAGAGCGTCGGCCTGCGGACCGATGGGTCCCAGGTTCGATTCCTGCCAAGGGCACGTGCCTGGGTTGCAGCCTTGATCCCCAGTGGGGGGTGTGCAGGAGGCAGCCGATCAATGATTCTCTCTCATCACTGATGTTTCTCTCTCTCTCCTTCTCCCTTCCTCTCTGAAATCAATAAAGAAATATATTTTTAAAAAAAGAAAAAGAAACAAAACTCTGATGGATATCTGTGTGCCTGGCCCGTTCTTGGAAGTGTCACGAGAGAGAACAGAAAGGACGCTGGGAGCTGAGTGCCAGAGCGGCCAGCCCAGCCCTTCGCCCCGGGCAGGGCGCGGTACCCACCTGCGCAGGGTAGAAAACAAGTGCAGGGGGGACTTCACCTTCCTCTCCGACAGCTTCTTGCCGTGCAGGCAGCTGGGCTTGTCTTTGCTCTGCTTCCACTGCTGGGTGACGAAGGTCTGCATGATCCTGTCAACCAAAGAGTCTGTTACCATGTGCCGAGGCCACTGACGATGAGATCCGGGTGTTAATTACGTAGAGAATGCGTTTACCAAAGGGAAACAGACACGCAGCAATGACTGGGGAGATGCCATGTTAGAATCACACAAGATGTTTTTGTATGTAAAAAGCATCCTACAGAAATTTTTATGATTTTATGAATTATTATTAATAAATTACTGTGATAAAATTAAAAAATATAAATGACAGAAGAACTGATAAAAGAAGGAGGGTACATAGAGATTTATAAAGACTACTAGAGGCACGGTGCACGAATTAGTGCACGGGTGAGGTCCCTCAGCCTGGCCAGCGATCGGGGCCAATCGGGGCTGCATGAGGTTGGCCAATCGGAGGGAGGGGCCACGGGAGGTTGGCCAGCCATGGGAGGTTGGCTGCGGGAGCACACTAACCACCAGGGGACAGCTCCGGCATTGAGCATCTGCCCCCAGGTGGTCAGTGTGCATCATAGCAACCGGTCAACCTGTCTTTCTGGTTGTTCTGGTCATTTGGAATGACTCGAATGACCAGTCGCTGTGACGTGCACTGACCACCAGGGGGCAAACACTCGACACAGGAGCTGCCCCCTGGTAGTCAGTGCGCTCCCACAGGGGGAGCACCGCTCAGCCAGAAGCTGGGCTCACAGCTGGTGAGCACAGCTGTGGCGGGGGCCTCTCTGGACTTCGTGGCAGCGCTGCCAAGAGGCGGTGGCAGGCGCAGCCGGCCAGGATGAGCATCAGCAGCGCGCGCCCACCCCCGCTCAGGCTCCTCCCAGGCCGCCTGCCACTTGGCAGACGGCTACAGCCCCCGAGGGGTCCCGGATTGCGAGAGGGCACAGGCCAGGCTGAGGGAATCTGAGTTATTTTGTTGTTGCCAGGAAGCAGTTTGAAAAATCTTTTGTTAATAGTTACAATTCTATTTATTAAGGTACGAGAAACGTCAATTTCTTTTTACTGGAATTGCTCATGTGGTTTTCTTGCAGTGGTTCTCAACCTTCCTAACGCCGCGACCCTTTAATACAGCTCCGCATGTTGTGACCCAACCATAAAATTATTCTCGTTGCTACTTCATAACTGTAATTTTGCTACTGTGATGAATCGTCATGTAAATATCTGATATGCAGGATGTATTTTCATTGTTCGAGACCCACAGGTTGAGAACCGCTGCTTTATGGGAAGTAAAAAACAAAACTGTCGGGTCCCAAGCAATAAACCAAGCCGGTGAACGGACTCCCGGAGGAACCTGAAGTCAGCCCGTCACCGTCAGCACCGCTCACTTCACCGGTAAACATGGTTGTTTTTTGAAAAAACCCGAGTGGCCATCATGAGGCGGGAATTTGGTCACCGATCTCAGCGCGTTTGAGCAGGATCCCCCGCCCCACCCGCGGGAAGGACTGCACCGGTGGGCATGGGCGGCCTGTTCCGGAGAAGGGCCCACAGCACCCTCTCTGCGCCCACCCCCGGGGGCAGGGGGGCCTTCAGGGCGGATATTCACGTAGAAGGAACCTTGACAGTGAAACGTTATGTGAGCAACAACCGAAACACTTTGCCCTTCGGGTCAATTCGGCATTGCTTGTTGTTCAGGTTCTTTTCGGTGATTTGTAGCACAGGCTGCTTGGCAACAGGAAATGGTACCATTACTTGCTTATAACTGACAATATTCCAGGAAGTAAAATATGAACCTCAAATGCAGGTATTTTCTCTTTAATTCGCAGGACACCCGCAGAAAGGAGCTACTATTGCACATGGTCACAAATAAAGTGAGGAAACATCCGCTCGTGAGCCTGGGTAATGAAACGGCAGAGGGACCGTACCTGCGTTTTCAAACACAAACTGACATCTGTGAGCGTGTGATGTTCAAAAAGACAGGTGTGGCTCTTGGCACTAAGCCAATACGAATTTCTCACTGCCCTTCAGATCTTACCCAACTAACTCAGCTGACCAGAACGTACAGCACTCAGACCCACGGCCCCACCCTGGCCTGCCAGTTAGCTGAGGTCAGCTCAGGCTGCCGCGGACAGGAGGAAGTATTTGGGGTCTTTTCAGCTGTAGAGGTGGTGAGAAAAGAAGGTGTAAACCCGTGGCCAACGGTGCATAATTCCAATTTGTAGTAAATTCACCTCTGAGCTCAGGACAAGGGAAGATTTTCATTTTACACTTAATTTTTGAAGGTTTTTTTAATCCAAGATTGCAATAAGATTTAAACCAAAGAACTTACATACTTATATACATTGTCCATGGACACAGAAAATAGTGTGGTGAAGGCCTGGGTGAGGGGGGGTCGGGGCTGGGCGGAGGAGGGATGGGGGACATCTGTAATACTGTCAAAAATAAATAAATAAATATATATATATTAAAAATAAGTCAATGCAATAGCATTATGAGAGCCACCTGGGGAGCAGCGGGAGGAGCCGGGGTTCCAGCATCGCGCTCTGCCAACCTAGTGCCCACTCAGCTCCAGCAACGCGGGAAGCTCCTCCCCAGGTGCCTGGGGAAGAGCGCTTACTGAACACACGGGGGCAGCGACGAGCAGGTGAGAACCCGCTCCCTGAACAGACATGGAGCTCTCATTCTGCGGAAAACTCACTTTTTCAGCTGGTGCCCCAATCCGAATCGCTCTTTGGTGGAAATCTGAAAGACATCGACAGTGGGCACTGAAAAGAGAAACATCAGTCACAACGTGAAGGTGAAAGTCAACCAGCCAGGAAACTGGGAAGTTATAGATGTAACTCCGTGTGTGCGTGTACATGTAAGAAATGCTGGATACATACATGTGTATACATTGCATAACATGTAATAGACACATTTAAAAAGAGGGCACACAGTGCTATCCATCTCTTTATGCTTTCTATACAGATGCCTTGAAGACCATTCTTGATCATTATGCTATATACTAAGGTATAATATGTGTATATACAAATGTATAATGCGTATAATAATGAAGAATGATCTTCAAAAAAACATATTAATTGTAAATAGCAATGTGTAGGAACAGTGAACACTATTCTTTCAGTGGAAGAGAGAGGTACATACACCTTTTTATTATATCCTCACCCAAAAATATGTTTTTATTAATTTTTAGAGAGAGAGAAAAGGAGATAGAGATAAACAGAGAGAGAGATCAATGTGAAGGAGAAACATCAGTCGGTTTCCTCCTGTAGGCACCCCTACCAGGGGTTGAACCCACACCCGAGATGTGTGCCCTGACCAGGAACTGAACCGGCCACCCTTTTTGGTATATGGATGATGCTCCAACCAACTGAGCCACCTGCCAGGGCTACACGTACACCTTTTTCTGGAATAAAATAACAGAGCATGAGAGTAAGGCACAGGCGACTTCTGTTCACTGCAGGCCCTGTCATGGGCTTCATATTTTTACCAGATACACGCAATTCTGTGCGTTAATAACTGTGCGTATGAAATTAATAACCTCTCAGAAAAGTCACCCACCACCCATCATTCAATGGTTTTAAGGAGTATTTCACAGATAATATCCGTAAAGTGTTTTCATATTTTAAAAAAAGTGGAAGTCATTCAATTTTTCCTTGTCTCTTATAATTTTGGTTGGGAAGGGCTGCTTAAGATACGTGGAAATTATTCTAATACCTTGATCATGTAAACACAAGAGGCACAGAAAAACATTTTCAAGTTAATTGTTTACCTCTTTAAAGTAAAAGCTTCCCTGCCCTTAAGGTCAGAAACTAGACTTATGTTCCAGCAATTCTGGAAGAAACATACAGCATTACAGAAATCATAACACTAGTGTCTTTTTAAAGTGCATTTCCCTGTGCACAATGAAAATAATCCTTATTTTTGATTTCAAGGAAGTGCACCTCTTCAGTTCTTCTCATTCCTGTTCACTCCCAGATACAGCATCAGAGGAGCTCGCACGGGTATTTTCATACCTTCCCAGGGCCTGGGGATACACGCTTTTCAAAAGGGGCTCTGAACTAGGTCAGCCTACACCTCGATCAGCCCTACCTTTCCTGCCAGCTAATTTTACTCTAAATGCTGAAACCCTCAAAGACACAATACAAAACAGCCAAGCGATGCTTCCTCGCTTTTTTATTTTTCTGCAATAATCCAAGCCATAAAGTGAAATGAAACCTAATTGTTTTTCTGGAATGATAAGCTCTATGTTCCTTTTTAGTATCGTTGCCTCTTGCTGATGTCCTGTATTTCACATTAATGCCCGTTTTAAATCATGTTGCCTCTCAGGGAGGGAAATGTGCTGGTCCCAGGGCAATATAAGGCCACCGTCTGCACCCGCCTCACCATAACCGGCACAGGAGCAGAAGCCTGGAGTAACGCCACCCCGTGTGAGATGCTTCCAGAATTTTCCTACAAATAGAACGAATGGACCCATGTTGAGGGGCCCTGACCCCAACGCCTCATTCTCTGAAGGAGGAGGAAGCTAAGGCTGCCACCACGAACGCATCTCAGAAAAAGGGGCCGGTGGGGGGCGGAGCCATGTGCCCAGGGCAGTGCCCCGAAGGGCTGGGCTGGCAGGCTCCTCCCAAAGCAGACGCTGACCTCTTCCTTCCCCATGACGCCCATCTAGACCCTGAGCGGAGACTTGGGGGTAAGGAGTCCCCTATGGCATTGCTCCCAGGAGAGAAACCAGTAGGGGGGGGGGAAGGAGGGGGAGGAAGGCAGGCAGAGGGTCAAGTCTCAGCTTGGGCCTGGCCTGAGGGTAACGCTGGAGCATAAACCACACCACGCAGTTCTCCAGCCTGAGGCAAGGACCCTGGGCCCAGGCATCCCACATCCACCACACCAAAGGGCGGGCACAGGTGGGATCCAGGGGGAGACAGCGGTTCTGTGTCTGATGGGGAAGCCCAGGTGAGCGGTCAGCAGTGAAGCCTGAAGACGCCAGGGAGGGCAGGTGCGGGGGGGGGGGGGGAGGGGGGCGGCATCAACAGAGAGAGTCACAGCCCCCTCCACTGTCAGAGCTGGTGTACCCACAGGACAGGGAGTGTGGATTCCCTCTTCCGTCTTCTTAATGGAAGAAATTAGGCCCAAATCACACTAATTTCTGAAAGAAGTGCATTTCAACACCTGCTTCAACACTGAGCAAAGCAAAACCCCATCTCCGGGAATAAAATAATCAATCTGGGAAGGCTCGTGATTTATGCTCCCAACAACATTCAGGGTAACGTTGCATAAATAAAACAGATGCGATTAATGGGAAAGAGGGAACAGGATCGGTAAGGATGGGAGTCAAATTGAAAACAGAGGGGACATTCAATCAAAGGCTGAATCATGAAAACATTCGCTGAGTGAAATAAAGTTATAAATTCTCGGGGTGAAGGACGAAGGACTAAGACAGACGATGAAAACAGGGAAGACAGAGGCGTCAGACCCGTCTACGCTCATCAGGGCGACCAGATAGCGGAGAAACAGCCAAGAACTTCACCAAAGTTGTTCAGGTGATTTAAGTCTATCAATTTGAAAACCATATGAAGAGAAAAAATAGCCCAGTAAATACATATAACAAACACAAACAAAGCCAAAAGAGTTTTCTTACAAAGAAACAAAATTCAAACACTTTCAGATAGAAACTGGCGTCATTTTTTCTGGGGCATTTTTGCTTTTGGGGGGAAGTGTTAGGACCCGAAGGTTGTACTTGGTCAAGCTGCTCTTGTTCACAAGACAAGGGGTCGTTCTCAGGTATGAAAAGACAAAGCATAACCCTCATGTTCCTTTGGTTTACAAACGATTAAATATGTAAATCAACTAACAGAGATGAAAAAATTAAATGATGGAGGAGTTCTGACGCTAAGTAAGTGACACTGAACGGTAAAACCACTTGAACATGAACTGACATATAATCGTTACAATGTTTATAAAACCAGGCAATCATGACAAGTCTTTAAAGAGATAATGTGAAGGGAAATCCCTGCCTAGAATCGAAGATTATATTTAAAAATGAGCATCGGCGGTAAGACTACATAAAGGCATGCCCGTTCTCCTCTCAGCGTGGAGTTAGGGGAACAGGTGAACTGACCCAGTTTTGTTCCTAACCTGGTAACTCAGAACCAAACACGCTCTGAGCCCGATAACTCAGAACCAAACACGCTCTGAGCCCAATAACTCAGAACCAAACATGCTCTGACAAGGGCTTCTCTTCCTTTCACCACCATCGGAGTACAACTAAGTGGTGCATTTCAATCGCTAAAGAAAGCAGAACACGCCCTAACCGGTTTGGCTCAGTGGATAGAGCGTCGGCCTGCAGATTCAAGGGTCCCAGGTTCGATTCCGGTCAGGAGCATGTACCTGGGTTGCGGGCACACCCCCAGTAGGGAGTGTGCAGGAGGCAGCTGATCGATGTTTCTCTCTCATCGATGTTTCTAACTCTCTATCCCTCTCCCTTCCTCTCAGTAAAAACTCAATAAAATATTTTTTTAAAAAGAAAGCAGAACACAGCGACAGGCTGGAACACTGCAGATACTACAAATCACCCCGTTTTAGAAGGTTTAATGACTGGAGGAGAGGCTCAGGACATGGCGATGCATAACTCCTTATCGACGCAATGCCGATTTATGCAAGCCAACCAGGCAGATACGGAAAACAAACTATTTACCGTTTTCTCGGCGTAGCGGGATTATGAGTAATCATTTTTCTTCTTTATTACCTTTATATATATTTGAAAGAAACAAAATGAAAAAACATCTATTTGTCTTTGCCTAGCATTAAGTCACATAACTTACTCTGTGACTTGTATTGAGGATTGCTTATTTACGTAGAATACGTCATACAAATATGGAAAAGAGGTGACCAGCCCGGCCGGTGTGGCTCGGTGATTGAATGGAGGCCTATGAACCAGGAGGTCACGGTTCGATTCCAGGTCAGGGCACATTCCCAGGTTGCAGACTCGATTCTCAAGTGGGGGGCGTGCCGGAGGCAGCCGATCAATGATTCTCTCTCGTCACTGATGTTTCTATCTCTCTCCTTCTCCCTTCCTCTCTGAAATCAACAAAAACATTTTTTTTTTAAAGGAAAGAGGTGGCTATGGAAGCATTTTCAGAATGAGAGCTGCTCCTGTGTACTGCGTCAGCTGGAAAGGGCGGCTTCCTATCTTACGTGGAAAGGAACAGGAGGTGTGAGGTCCTGGCGTGCCTGAGGGACACGGTGCAGAGGCCACAGCGGAGCCTGCGTGGCAGGTGAGGGACGGCGGGAGCCTGGCCAGCGGCCATCTCCGCCCTGGCCCTGGGCTCTGGGAGGGCTCTTCCTCTGAGGAACAGAGAACAGAGGAAGATCCACCGGGCTTCTGGCCAGGTGTCTCTGGGATCACTTGCACTGGACCCATTATCAGGCTACAGCAGTGGTTCTCAACCTTCTGGCCCTTTAAATACAGTTCCTCATGTGACCCAACCATAAAATTATTTTCGTGGCTACTTCATCACTGTCATGTTGCTACTGTTATGAATCGTCATGTAAATATCTGACATGCAGGATGGTCTTAGGTGACCCCTGTGGAAGGGTCGTTCAACCGCCAAAGGGGTCGCGACCCACAGGTTGAGAACCGCTGGGCTACAGGAAGCCTCACCCCCATGAAGAATCACAGGCAAGGTAGTCAGGAGCCCCAGCTGAGCTCCGCAGGGACACCTGCGACAACTGCTACGTATCTGAAAGGCCAGCGTCCTGAGCATCCAGCCTAGTGGAGCCTTGAATGACAGGCGCCTCACCCACCATCTATCTGACTGCAAACCCTGGGGGACTCCAAGCAGGGGCTGCCCCGCTGAACCCTGAAGAATGGTGAGAGAGGAGCTGTTTTAAGCCACTACGTTTGCAGTGGTTTGTTAGGCAGCAGCAGCAGAGAACTGGTGTGTGTGTGTGTGTGTGTGTGTGTGTGTGTGTGTGTGCAGGTGCGCCTAAGTTAGTAGGCGGGGAAAAAGGAATTTAATCCAGTAAGTCTCGCAAAGATTTATAGCAGGGCCCTTTGTCGTAAACAGCTGTCAGTTGAGGAACAGCAAAGTCATCGGTTAAGGGACCACAGTACAAAAACTATTATGATGATCTCCATTTTTGAAACCAGAAATATGTTACACTGAGGCTGAGTTCATCAGGATTCAGAGGTGAGAGAAACGTACATTAGCATTAAATCTCAGGATCAGAGACAGAATTTGAGCTTCTCCTATACGCAAAGTTCTCTTTTCGGTACTAATGTGCTTATTTCACAGACGCTTGTCAACTTCTGAAATCTATAGAACTAAATGGTACATGCTTCTCTTTCTAGTAGTCACACTGGCGGTAAACCATCTTTGTCAGGATGCAAGTGTACTTAAATGTCATTACCAAGATAGCTGCAGTTACTCTCAGAATTACCAAATGCACCGTCATCTTGTTCAATGCACAACGCACAACTAAATACTCAAATAATAGAGAAAGAAAGTCAACCTGGGCCATTTAAATACTGGGTGAGTGAGCAGTGCAGTCGGACAGTTATAGGTTCTGTTCGAGTCACTTCCCAAGCCACAGCGATCTCCTCCTGTGCGAATGAATATATTTTAAAGACGAATTAGTCGCCTTGTAGAGCCCAGATGTATTTCCCCAATTAAAAAATATTTTTACGTTATTTTGAAGAAATGCATAAATCATTAAGGCCTACAAATTATCGTAAAGCCTACGGTTTGTGAAAAGAAAACCAACGTACTTTTAATCTTTGCCTTTTCACATGAAAATAAAAATGAAAACTTAAGAAATACTCAAGTACTGTACTAAGAGACTGCAAATTTCAGAGGATATTTAAAAACCAACACAAATATATATATACACACACACACACACACAGACACACACACACATATATATATATAATCTGTTTCTTCAACCAGTCATAGCATTTTTTCATAAATCGCTCTGAAAAAGCCAATTCATTACTAATAGCATTATAGCAAAAATTAGATTTCCTCCCATAAAAATAAGCATTTTTTTAAGGGTAGCGGTCACGTTGCATGAATTGATACTTACATCAAGAAAGCTGACATCGACATGCAGATCAATATCTACGTCGTCAATGGCTCCATACTCCCTGGAAGCAGAGATTAACGTCAATATTTTCAATTTCCTTAAAAGACGGGGTGTCCTAGGTTATTTTATATTAAAAAAATTAATCATGAGCTCTTGTCCCTGACGTCCAGAGAGCTCGGACATGCCTGTGGACCTGAATTAACTGACTCCATGTGGTTGGACCGCCTCTCCTAGACCTACTGGATCCATCTAGACAACTTTCCACCTTTGGCCACCGGAACATGCGTGTGTCAATCCAAGAGCTGTTTGGTTCACAGGTTCGAACGGCCTTGTTCTCTGGAGCAAGTTAAAGCCTTCCCACCTGGCTCGTCTCTCTCACTGTGCTCCCTAAGAGCGCAGAACTGCTTCTAGGGACAGAAAGGAGTTTCGGACAGGTGAGGGGGGGGGGAGGGGGGGGAGTTTACTGCCCCAGTAGTAATGTGTCTAGGAACTTTCCTTCCGTGTTAGACACCAGTGGCTCTGAAACCGGTCGAGGTGTCTGCCATGTCACTGTCACTGTTCTCACGGGCAGCTCTGAAAGTCTGACACATCAACATTAAAGCAAGTAAGAACAGGGATGTGCCACACTAAGCTGTTATGAAGACCAACTTTTTTCCAGCCCAGGGAGAGACACAAGCCAGCGTATTTTTTAAGTTAACAAAAGAGTATAAAAACAATGGTATATACTAGTATATAGTAGTCTCTATGTTTGGTATATACTAGTATATAGTAGTCTAATGGTATATACTAGTCTCTATGTTTTATATTTTTATAAAATTCTGGTTACACATGCTGCACCCAGTGAGGGAGCCAGCTATAAAGAGAGCAGAAATGACAGAAGTTAATGGTCAGGTCCTCGTGAGCGCTTTGGGCCAGAACTGCTCTCAGGACCTCACACGCACGCGATCACATGCACTCACTCACAGAGGCACGAACCGCGGCCCAAGTAATGGGGCCGGCCAGCCCCCCTCACGCCGCACAGAGCTGGGACTTGACTACGTGTGTCCTATTCATTTATGCAGGTGCTTCATCAGCTCAGTAGTCAATCAACTACCTTTTGTGTTGGAAACCAGGTGGGTCAGTAGGGGAGGATCCTATTAGGGCCTCACCATCGCCTTCCCACAAGCATCCCACGACCGTCCTTGTTTGCAGATGAGAACACTGAGGCTTAGGGAGGGACAAATTGCCAAAGGGCAGGTAAGAAGTCAGAGGAGGCCTTAGATGCACCTCTGCCGAACCCATGGGCACAGACAATGGTGTGGTGAAGGCCTGGGAGGGGTGGGAGCGAGGTGGAGGGGTCAGTGGGGGAAAGGGGGACACCTCTAATACTTTCAACAATAAACTTTTTTAAATGTCAGTGGGAAAGCCAGGTACTGAGCTCATGCCCAACCTCAGCACTGCTGAGCACAGTACCCAGTACGTAGTTAAGTACGCGATGAAAATGCCGTGTATCACACGTACATCCGGGTAACGCTAATAGAGCACAGCACTGCAGCGCTGTCACAGGATTCGGAGAAAGCGGTTTTTTTTGTTTGTTTGTTTTTTTAAATATATTTTATTGATTTTTTACAGAGAGGAAGGGAGAGAGATAGAGAGTTAGAAACATCGATGAGAGAGGAACATCGATCAGCTGCCTCCTGCACAACCCCTACTGGGGATATGCCCGCAACCCAGGTACATGCCCTCGACTGGAATCGAACCTGGGACCTTTCAGTCCGCAGGCCGACGCTCTATCCACTGAGCCAAACCGGTTTCGGCAAGGAGAAAGCGTTTTTAATGACTAAATGGTTCATGGAATTCAACGAATGACAGAGTCCAGGCAGTCTTTTCACTTTTGAGGTGTAGGACAAATTGCAGCATTTTACGTATAATAACTTAGCCTCTCCGCTTCCTGCACGCTCCCCTTAAAAATATATGCAAACACTGCGCACGTTTTCATTATTTAAAAAACTGAACTTTTCATCCTTTCCTAGTAATCCTTTTAAAGGTTAAAAGAAAGGCTAACAATTATTCACGCAGCGATTTTTTAAAATAGCATGGGTCACAACATCTGTGTTTTTCAGAGTAAGAACCTTGATAACCATATGCAAATTTAGATATAAAAATATGCCAATTTAGCTATGAAATTAGACAGAAACGAAGACAAGACTAAGGCGCAAGCACATGAACCATTCTTTGTGCCTCTTGTTCTGGATTCAGCAAACTTTCCTGGAAAAGCCAGATGGTAACTCTTCCAGGCGTCCAGGCCACACAGACTCGCGGCCACGCATTCCTCTTGCTGGCCGGTGGGTCCCCCCCACACCCCTTTAAAAAGCGCCCACCATTTGTCGCTCAGGGGCTGTCAGGCAGGGCCCGCAGCCAGTGGCCGTGATGTTCTGACCCTGACCTCCGGCCCGTTCTCCGTAAACACAGGAAGTGAGTATGCACAGTGAGGCGTGAGAGCGCCGGGAGATGTGATGAGGGGCACAGACTGCCTGCCGAGGCCTTTCCAAGGCTCTCCTGCGGGGGAGGGAGCCGGGACCACAGCCATCCCCCAATCACAGCGGCGCCCACTCCCACCTGGAAAACGTACGTGACAGCAGAAATCGGGGGGAGATGAATACTGAAGAATAAGGAAACACTTAAAGAACAGCACACACTGACGCAGTTTTTTACAACTGCCCGTTACTAACAAAGTGGATATGAAAGTATTTCCTATCCTGCGGGAAATGTTCAAATACACTACTTACGGAGCAAGTGGAGCGCCAAAAAGCATGGGGACTAAAATAGCTTTTAATAACAAAACACAAATAGGAAAACCAATAAAGTAAGAAGAGTACGTATATATCAATTGTAAGTCGTGGGTAAAATTTACTTTATAAATGTGTTATGTATTTTCTAAAAACGTGTACTTTTTCTGATTACAAAGGTCAGAGGCTCATTATATTAGATGAGAAATAGAAAAGCAAACAAAAAGGAACTTGTAACACCACCATTCAGAGATCGCCCTTCTGCTTCTGTCTCACTCCCGTCTCTCCCATATGCTCTATATCATACAACACATAGACTATATTAAGAGTAATACACTATGTCATATAACACAGAGACTATATTAAGGGTAACATACTATATCATATAACACGCACAATATATTAAGGGCAACATACTATATCCTATAACATACAATATATTAAGGGCAACATACTATGTCATACAATATATACTAAGGGTAACATACTATATCATATAACATAAAATATACTGAGGGTAACATGCTATATCATACAACATATATATACAAATATTAAGGGTAATATAACATGGAAAGATTTTTGTCCTGCTCTTTCACTTCTTCTATGAGTGCTGTTTCTATATTGTGGAGTATTTTTCTAAACCACTCTGAATTTACATTTAAATGGCTCTATTTGTATAAATAAAATTGAATAATACATCATTAGGTTGCTTTCCATTCTTTTTTTACACTAAAAATATTGACAAATAGCTCCCTGGATAAAAATCTGCACGCATCTGTCTTCTCCCAGAACGATTTCCAGGACTATTGAGCAAAACAAATGGTCTGACTATACTTGGGAGTCTTGCGCTACATACAGTGTTTAATTGCTGTTTTAAGGGGTTACCACACTTTATAATGAAATCAGCCAGGTTTTCACACGGACCCTTCCCCACAGCCCCATCATCGAAAGGCATTTTCTCTTCTGGCCCATCTTTGCCAGTTGCGCAGGGAAGAATAAATTCTGCGTGGACTTATTGCTGATGGCAGGCCTGGGATGCTGAGAGGCAGACAGGGGTAAACCAGAAAGAAAGACCCGGAAGGACCCGACCCACAGTCCTTCTCATCGTAGAGAGATGTCCAGACACTGCCGCAGACATTTATCCTGAAGAAATGAATCGGAAGGCACACAGCCTTTTCACAACCTTTCCCATGCAAACATTAAAGCATTCCTTATATTTCTTAAAAGCCAGTATCCTCCCAATTCCTAACACTACCAATTTCTTACAAAAAAAAAAGAAGAAGAACTAAAGATTTCCAGGCCCTCCATCCGCGCAGCAGAGCAGGCGGGGTGTTAAGGCGGGCGTTAGGGGTTCGCCATTAACTGGACGCTGCAGGTGCCGACCCCAGACCTCCCCTGGTTTCCAGGCCTCACTTCAGAGCATCACCAGGAAGGGCGCCGTGCTGCCCTGCTCTCCGAGGCCAGCGATCCCTGTCCCCTGCGGGAGCACAGAGGGGGTGCAGTCGGTCCAGAGGCCGCCGGTCACCAGCCGCTTCTGCATCCAAGTCGCTTCCGGAGCCTCGCACACAGCTGACCTGTGACACCAGGGGCCTGACTGTCTGAAGGCCGGCGTGGGCTCACGGGGGCCCACAGCACCTCGTGCGCGCCCGCCTTTATCCCCGGGGAGGGTGACGGCAGGAGGGCAGAACACGTGTGCAGACGAGGGGGACACAGGAGGACCCGCTGCGCCCTGTCGTCTGGAACTCGGGGCCAAGAGGACCTGCCCGCGGGTCTGTGACCCAGCACAACATCCAGGCTGCCCCCTGACGCGGGCGTTCAGTGGCCTATTGATCCAAGAACAGGGTGAGCAGAGTAGGCTGATGGTTGTTCGGATGGAAAAAACGACAATAAGGACTAAATAGCAACGCAGGAATACACCGTGTGTCACATGCTCACACTGTAAGCCTCCTTTGCCCACCGTGCATGTGGAACGTATTTTTCTGTGAATGTGTGTTTTTGAGGGCACTTTGTGGTAGAATTCTTGCCCACTCATTCTCCTTTTACTGGAACTGAGGGGAGGTGGCAAGTCACAGAGCACAGCGCACTGTATATGGGGTGCGAGTCTGAAACCTCGCGGGCAAGTGATCAGGATCCCTTTCCTCCCGGCCCACGGAATGCCGAGGCTTGTAAGTCCTTCCTTCCTAAGGGTATTGATCAGGCTGTTCTCAGACGGCACGAAGCGAGGTTTTTTTATAAGTACCTGCCTATGCGGTAAATTCACTGAAAAACACGAAACGTCCTCATTCTGTAGCAGGGCTCCCGGGGAGGCCTGTGCGGGCTGGTCTCGGGTTAATCACGTTCACACGGACCTTGGTCCCACAGGAGCCGAGTCAGAGCTGTCACCCGCTCACGAGGGTGACTCCGCACAACCAGCGCTGCTAGAGACACGGCTGGGCGGGGCGGAGAGAGCGACTCTCAGAGATGCATCCTCGGGCGCTTTTCCTGTCCCCCCTTCACCCTTTCCCGACGGGTCCGCCTCCATGGAGGCGGCTGGCGCTTACAGGGAACTCAGAAGTGCTTAGCTGCTCCTCATTAGATGTCGCATTAAAAAAAAGACACCAAATAGCCTATTATGCGTATTGAGGTACTTTTGCTCTTCAAACTCCATTAAGTTCTTATAAACCTCAATTAAGTGAAAGAACAGCTCATTAGAACAGCCTGTGTTCAACAGACTCGGAACCTCGAAAGGAAGATGGGTCCAGACCTGAGGCCTGACCCTCCCCTTCCCACGGGTCCAGCCCTCAGTGTCTGGGACCAGACGGTACATCCCTTCTCATCTGAGCAAATCACACTCGTCCTGCGGAGTCATCAGGCCTCTGGGAGGCTGTTTATTCTGGAAACACCCTCTGAGCTGGAGAGAATCTAGAGGAAATCTGGAGCAGGCGAGAACAGGGCCTGCATTCGTGGAGATGTGAATGGGATCAAAATGGATAAGTGACATAAGCAAGGGGGGGGGGGGTTAAGCACAACCATTTATGACTTCATTTAAATAAAGTTCCAAATACTTATCTAATTTCAACAGCTGATACAGTATCCATAACCTCATCAATAACGGGAAATACTGATAGAGACTACCCTAGGTGTTTCATAAATGCTGTGGAAAGAAGACACAAACAACACCATCTGTGTGTGACAGTATAACTGAGGTCTAGGCAGCGTGGAAATCAGGTGTTCTCAGAGGTTCTGACCTATGAAAGCAGTCAACACAGGCCAAGGTCATCCTCCAACAAGACCGCATGCTTCAAAGGAAGACGCTGAAGTCCCTGCCGTCTCGTTTGGTTAATCCTAGCCCCCCAGCTTTTTCCTTTCAGTGGGGGAGGGGTTACGTTACTGCAATTAGAGTTTTATGCTTTCAAGCAAAGTTCAACTGACGTTAAGAGATTAGCCATTGTTTTGGATGACTTGATAGTTCCTACTGCCTCCTTCGCTTACTCGCTCTGAAACACTCACAGAACAGCCCTCCCCGGAGCCACAGGAGGGAGCAGCAGGGAAACGATCGCAGCTCATTTGCTAAAACTTGGACCATTGTAAAGATCTGCTTTTCCCATACAGTCACTCTCGCTCCATTTCGGCTTCCTGGGCCTCAGGAGGCGGGAAGGAGGGTCTGGGTGTACGGCCCAGCTCCACGGCTGCAGGGGGACTGGGCTTCCGCCTCTGCAGTTCAGGTGAAGCATTTGGAATTCGGGAGCAACTGCAGCTGCTGCACTTCCCCACGGAAAGCGCTCGTTCGATCTCAAAACCTGGCTGTGTCCGGAGAAGAGAATGGAACCAGGGCACGGAGGCGGCCACTGAGAACCGCCCAGCACCCACAGCCCGAGTTCCAGACAGGCCCACGCTACACCAAATGCCAGGATGCAAGCAGGACTGAAAGCCAACCAAAGCACAGCAAACACCAAAAGCAGGTATCGCTCCAGCACCCACCGAATTCAGTCTCGAGGGGAGGAGGTAAAGCAAAACCTTGCAGGCGTGAGAAGGACAGGGAGTGAGGGCCGAGCCCAGTGCGATGGGAGCGCCCAGGAGGCTCCAGGCAGAGCTGCGTGCTGGCAGGGGCCCGAGTGAACACTATAGCGGGGCTGAGAGGGAAAATGGCTGTGCAAATGGCCGGAGTCAAGTGGAAGAAGTGAGGCTGGACCAATTAGGGTTCAGGGGGGAAAGGCCGGGGAGGCCTGGAGCCCACGGGCCTGGGAGACGAGCCTTTGGGCAAAGACCCGGAACCTGCAGCCGTCGAGCTGGCTCGTGGGAGGGCACCCCCAGGGTGTACAGGGGGGTCTTCTCACATCAAGGAGAGAAAAGAGAGGCCAAGAAGGAGGTGGGCTCTTCTGAACGATGAAAACGAATAAACGCGGTCCACAAATGTATCACCAGAGAATATATTAGTGACCGCAGAATAAAATGCATACCCTTCAGATAAACACTGTGCATGTTTAGGAGGGTTTTCCCTTCCTGGTTTTGAGGGGCCAGGTAGCAGAGTCCGGTGCAATCTGGTTACCAGTGGGCATGCGTTATTTCCTTGTATTGTTCGCACGGAAGTGTTATGGTAACGGCATGGGCCCAGCTGGCCCAATCTATCATCGGAACTGACTGACACGACTAAAGACTGAGGTTTTATCAAAACTAGCTCTCCTAACTAACGAATTTGAATGCAGTGTATGTAATCTTAAACTATGTACAAAAAATGCACACCCCATATCGGCATGAAGATGCTATCCTGTACACGCAGGAGCACGCTAGAATCTCACCAATATTTTCCAATATCATTGAGCCCAAGAACACGTCCGCTGAGATAACTCCCACAGAGGCTCCCACGCCTTACAACGGGTGTCGCTTTCATTCCCCGCGGCGTCGGTTTACCTGAGAGAAACCGCGTGCGGCCCATAGATCTCCCGGACCGCCGACAGGTCGGCCTCGAGCTGCGGGTGCTTGTGCAGCTCCCCGTCGTAGTTCACCTGCGGGGAGGGGGTCAGAGGGGCCAGGTGAGGATGCGCGTCAATAGAACCCCCCCCCCCCCGAGCCGTCCACCCCTTGGGCAGCTCTGGGGGTGGCCCTTCCTCTGTCACCTTCGCTGACACATACAGGTAATTCGGCCGCATATCCTCCGAGGTTCTTAGGCTCACATACGTCTAGGGCAGTGCTCGGCAAACTCATCAGTCAACAGAGCCAAATATCAACAGTACGACTGAAATTTCTTTTGAGAGCCAAAATTTTTAAACTTAAACTATATAGGTAGGTACATTGTTATTAACTTAATTAGGGTGCTCCTAAGGCTTAGGAAGAGCCACACTCAAGGGGCCAAAGAGCCGCATGTGGCTCGCGAGCCGCAGTTTGCCGACCACGGGTCTAGGGTAATTTACTGTGCTCAAAGGTCAAATTAGCCTACTCTGATCTGAAGAAAGTGCAAATGTTCAAAGGGCTGAAGCGAGTGTCTGGCAGGTGATCTGAAAAGCTCCTAGACGGGACTTCTAGACTGAAGAAGGCGTGCCCTTCCCCGGCACGGAGCCGTGTGGCAGATGTGGACCGGGAGGAATGGTCTTGCCCAGCGTCAGTGCGACAGGGTCACAGAGCAGCTCTGCTGGGAAGGCAAGCCTGTGAGCAGACGCTGCCTCACCTGCGTCCCGTCTCCATTGCCTGGCAGGGGCCTCGTGGACAAACTGCTGATTGTTCCTCCTGCATGACAAGCTGACCTGCATTCCTTCGTGTAGTAACAACACTGGCTTTAAAGCGCCTTTTTAACACGTTACCGTCTCACTATTCTATCCAAGTTCCGAAGTCGACTGATGGAGAAGTTGACAGAAACACAACGAGCCACCTTTATACAGCCATGTCCTAACCCTGACCGCCCCGTGAAAATTCTGACATTCTCCTGGAACAACAGAACGAAGGCTTTTATCTATGCGCCTAGGTGACCGTGCCATTTCCATGTCCATTCGTTATGAGCTTTCTTCCTAAGTTTTCAACAAGCACTGGACATCCGTGTTAGAGAAAAAGGAAGACAAGGGATGCAAATGCTGGGGTGCTCAACCCTTAGGGCCATCGATTTCTACAAAGGCTAATCCTCTTCTACTTAAAACTTCCAACCCATGCTTTGTTAGAGCTGTCATCGTCTCAAAATACAGACCGAGCACCGTGTGCTTAAGAACCGTAAGTCAAAGCATAAGGAAGTGCTGTGTGTAAAGTCACAATCGAGAAGTAAGACAGTGTCAAGGTCAATGAACGATGACCGTCGAAGAACGGCAAGAGCCACCTTAGCTTCTGAAAAGTGTCGGACAGGAGAACGCGACGAGCCGTACGGATGCCCTCGTCAGCCACAGACCCTGAAGGCCACGTGGGCCTCGCGGAGCGCAGGCACAGACGTCCACAGGACACGGGCGGAATCACTACGTGGAGAGCGGGTGCCGGGGACCCCGGGCGCCTACCTGTCCTCCATAATAGAACTCCTCAGAGTCGTTATCCCCTTCCGAGTCTTCTTCCACTGCACTATTCTGTCTCGACTCCTTAAAAAAATAGAGCAAGAAGACAATTTATTTCAGTGGTCAGACGAGTTTGCCTCCTGAAAAGAAAGTAGCAAGTGGCCACAGCAGGCAGGTCTCTGCACGTCCCCCGGATTTTACACGAGAACATTCTTACTGCGTATGAGCCAAGAACACGACAGACGGGAGGAGACGGTGTGGGGAGTTCACGAAGCTCTATGCACATGTTCTTCTAAAGCTCTACTTTGCTTATCCTGATGTGTACAATTTAATGTGTTGCATCTATATAAGAAACTATATATAAGCAATTACAACTCTGAATTTGTTCTGATAAAACAGCTGACAAGCTCATGCTGATTCAATTTTTTAAGTTTTATTTTTCAGTTACAGCTTGCATTCGGTATTATTTTGTATTGCTTTCATTTACACTGATTCAATATTTTTATTAAAAAGGTTCTCAGCATTATTATCGCAGGCGGTCCTCACTCCCACTGCCAACTCTACACAATGGTGTGAAAGAAAAGACGCTTTGAATCCAATAATTAAAAAATCAAATTATGAAAATAAATATGAATCACATTATAAAAAAGACCTTTCAGAATACAGAAACTGCTTTCAATTTCAGATGCAAAAGGATATTTAATTAAATGTGCTTGAACTTAAAGGTTGAGTTTCTAATTAACTAAACCACATCTGTAATGTGTCTAAAGTACAAACAATGGAAATTCATCTGAATGAACTCATGGTTACCAATAGTTACTATCCCTATTCCCAGCTCCGTTAAAATAATAAGAAGGAAGGTGGCTTCCTTCAGACATAAGAGTCTATTAACCCAATGTCTTATAATCATCCCTGAATCTCCAGGCCAAATTTCAAACTCTTTAGGAAAACAAAAACCTGGGAATGAGCACCTGGGTTTGATGAAATGCTCCAGCTTGTGGTGTTAGCCACCGTATGGCTAACGCAGTGGTGCGCAGGGTGGATAGGGACGAACAGGATGAACCCTACAACTTCAAAAGCATTGTGTTGAGTGCATAGTTTTAAAAGCCAAGAACCGATGGCTCCATTGCACTCAGATTGTCTGTTTAATGCCCCAGTATTCACAGCCTCAGGTAACATTTTCTAAGGGTGAATTTGTTGTTCGCTGCAGTTAACACTGGCGAGAATAACAGGAAGCCCGTACCCACACTCTCTGCTACTTCAGCTGAAGAGTCACTTTCACCCGTGAACCATGTGTAGTCCTTGAAGGAGGGGAGAGTCCTCATCTACTTCGTCGCTGGTGGAAGTGGAAATCGTGCCATATCCCCAGAAAAAGAGTTTTTTGAGACTCATACAGGAGAAGGAGTGGTTTCTATTTGCATGGAATTAAATCCCTGAGGTTCCTAAGTCCCATTCCCCTCTGTCCCCCGTAAATTAAGTTCATTTAGGCCATTCCCCTTCCCACACAGTAAGTCCCGAAGACCCGGGGTTTGAGCTTCATTCACTATTTGCAACCTTAACCTAAATAACAATGATGATGCTGACTACAAATACACAGCAAATTTAAAATAAATTTTATGTTTTAAAATAAATACAAAATATAATTTACATACCTCCCCATTTTCCTTCTGTAATTTGGATTTTATGGACAAGCAACAGTTAATGTCATTTGTTTTCCTTAATTCTGAAAGTTATAAATTAAAAAAATCATTTTAGTTTTTAGTATACTATTAACACACATTCATAAGTTTCAGCATAAAAATACCTCTTAGGTGATTCCTTTGCAAGAAGATTCTGAAATTACATTATGTTGGGGAGTTACATAATAACAAGCTATTCTGATTTTTCATTGCTCATAAAAATATGGTCAAAGTAAAATGCCAATATACAGATGCTTTCAGTTCTCTCTCTCTCTCTCCCTCTCTCTCCCTCTCTCTCTCTCTCTCTCTCTCTCTCTCTCTCTCTCTATATATATATATATATATATATATATATATATATCATGTGATCTACAATGCCTCAAGTATGTTTGTTAAATAAATATTCAGTTTGTCTAGCAGTGTCATTATGCATGAAAACATTTTCAAATGAACAAATATCAACATGACACCATTAAACAAGACTTTTTTAAAGTACTATAAATGTATGCACTTAAACAACTGTCAAAAAAACAAACTAAAGCGCTTGAGATAGAAAATTTGGATGGACAACCAGATTTCTAAATGCTAAAGATTTACTATCTGTTACATGGGCTCAAGGAAGCCAAAACACAAAGCTACCTAATAACCAAATAAATATTAACCTAAGATAAAAAATAGTGTATTCCTATTACCTGTTGCTATTCGGTGAAAAATTACTGGAATTGGCTCTGTAGTAACTAACACATCTTCATCATTTTCTGAACTTGACACGTAGGTGTTATCTGCAAAGAAGTATAGACAATTAAAGGCATAGTAACTTGAAAAAGTACATCCTTTATAAAAGTATAAAGTTATATCCATATCACCTCTAACACTCATGAGGCACACACTATTGTTCAGAAAATAATTAAGTAAATTACCAATGAATGTGTAAACGCATTGTGAATGGCACCTCCTAGGGAAATACAGACTTTGAGACAGACACTGCCCACATACACATCTAAAATGGCCCATCTGTGGCAACGAAGCATTAGGATGCAACAGGTTGCCCCAACTCACTGAGCAGGGGCCTTCCCGGTGCCACTCTCTATGCAGGAAGCAGAGCGGAGGGAGGAAGCTCACCAGGACCCCACATGCCCCCAAAAGACTCCACATTACGTCACTACCGAGTCTGAGACAAAGCTTCTGTTCTAAACCAGATCCCTCGTGTCACTCTAACGTGTGTATTGTTTCTTTTCCTTAATTTTTATTTTTCAACGACGGTTTATTTTCATATTACTTTGTACTGGCTTCAGCTGTACAGCATAGTGGTTAGACAATCATATGCTTTACGAAAATAAGGTATGTTCTTGAATTGGTACGAAGTCTCCCAATTCTTCTTCCACAAATTAACTTCATCTAAATAGTACAACACAAGTTAAGTGCACAGGACACTTCATTACTCCAAAGGTCTCTGTTTCTTATGCATTTTTTGTTTCCTCTGGGAAAATATTTTTTATAAATTTAGGACTTTTCCCTGATAAATCCTGATTTTCAAGTACATGCTAATACAACCGAGCACAGAGCTGTTTATCCTGCTTTGCTCACTGACAATCACAGGACATAAGCGAGACAGCTATTTAACAAACACGTTATCAATTCAGTAATAATGGCCCCATACTACGCTGAATGACGTATAAAATATGTGAGTAATAAATATAAAAACAGGTGCAGAATACCCCTTACACACAATAAATAGAAGCCTGTATTAATTTTTGCGAGGGGAATGACAATATGACGACTGTCTAGAAACACAATCAAAGATCTCCAGCCAAGTTTTCATAATATTGTGTCAGTGCAGCGAGAACGTGATTTTTAGTTGACAGATATTTAAGTCATCGCTTTCTTTCCAAAGAAACATCTGGACTGTTTTTAGACCCTGAGCAGCGAGGAAAGATAGGATAGTCCCACGTACTCACAGCCCAGCCACACAAGACTCAGTAGACATGAGGCTGAGACGGTTATTCAGAAAGGAGAGAGGCAACCTGCGTGCGGGTGGATTTAGATGTGAAACCAAAACGGTTTGCCTCGCTACTTCGATTTGTTTTCATGACAAATGCTGCCTTATTTCATTTTCACGCAGCATCATGTGAGTTTCCTGTTTCACAAGTGGAACCACAGACTAAGGAACAGATTCGACACAAATCTGTTTTTTCTCCTCATTAGTTGAGACCGCTTATCTGGAGTCTCTTCTGCCCAGAATCTTGGGCTTTCAGGAAAGGATGCAAAGAGCCCTCTATTCAAACCAGTGTTTAAATTTCTTTAACCCTCGTGAAGAGTCCTACTGACTCAAAGCTAGCTGCCTCTGAATAGACTTAACTAGTTCTGCCCTGTGCACAGCGGACTCCTTGAAGCAAACTTGTGGAGAAAAGGAGACTAGAAAGGACGCATTAAGGCAACGGAAGGAACCACTGAGCAGCGACCAGGGGAGACACAGAGCCATCTGAGAGGCGGGCACAGCCACCGGCAATATCTCAAAGTTGCAGAGAGAAGAAGGTTTGCCTAAAGCAGTGGTCGGCAAACTGTGGCTTGTGAGCCACATGCAGCTCTTTGGCCCCTGGAGTGTGGCTCTTCCACAAAATACCACGTGTGGGTGCACATGTACAGTGCGATTGAAACTTCGTGGTCCATGCACAGAAGTCGGTATTTTGTGGAAGAGCCACACTCAAGGGGCCGAAGAGCCGCATGTGGCTTGCGAGCTGCAGTTTGCCGACCACTGGCCTAAAGCATCAAAAGGCAAGTAAATCACAACTTTGTTTCATAAAACGGGGACATAAGGATGGAATGGCTTATGCAAAGTGTTGTCACTGGAAGGCAGTCAGATTTGACCCAAGAAAATACAGTTTGGCGCTGGCCGGTGTGGCTCAGTTGGTTGAGCCATGTCCCGGGCACTGAAAGGTCGCTGGTTGATTCCCAGTCAGGGCACATGCCCAGGTTGAGGGTTCGGTACCCAGAATGGGTGTGTGGGAAACAACCAATTGATGATTCTCTCACATCCATGTTTCTCTCTCTCTCCCTCTCTCTCTCATTCCCTCCCTTATCCCTCCCTCTCCCTCTCCCTTCTTTTCTTGCTAAAGTCAATAAAGACATATTTTTTAAAAAAGAAAATAGAATGCAGTTTAATGAACACACATTGCATCATGCTGAAGGACAGGATGACGTATTAAACATATCGTTTTCTAAGAGATTGTCAGCAGTTTGTATGCGGGGTAGTATGTAGGCACTAAAACACTTTTGATTTCTGGTTTTGGCTGCATTTACGCAAACCAACCACGTGTTCAGGTTCCACGACAATATATATTAAATCGCCTTTGCAATATAATAGGCCAGCTCACAAAGGTACGCCCAAGTCAGAAACAGACAAAGCCCCTGCCACACTGTCTTCATCTTGTTCAGACGTGGAAACGTGGGACGTAAAAGGGTGAGGGACCGCTCAAGGCAACAGAATGGGTCAGTGGCAGAGGAGAATGTTTCCCAACTCAAACCCCTTCCCGGGAATTCTCCCATATGACTCGAGACCTGCCAGCTGTTTTATCTTAAAACTGTTGTTGAGAACCGTGAGGTTCTGTGATGTGTACATGCTGAGGTCCATGAGGTTCTGTGATGTGTACGTGCTCAGGTCCATGAAGTTCTGTGATGTGTACGTGCTCAGGTCCATGAGGTTCTGTGATGTGTACATGCTGAGGTCCATGAGGTTCTGTGATGTGTACGTGCTCAGGTCCATGAGGTTCTGTGATGTGTACATGCTGAGGTCCGTGAGGTTCTGTGATGTGTACGTGCTCATGCCGGAAGCCGGTCCATCCTTGCTGTTTCAAAGGACCTGGCATATATGGCATACTGTTCTTAAAATGTTTTCTCACCTTCTTGGCACTATGTGTTTTAACCAAGGTCTCCTCTCTGAGAAAGGTTGTTTCCCCAGGTAGGGATTTTCCCCTGAAGTTAGGGAGGGAATAAAACCTCTTAACTAAGTGCCAGGCAGGTAATTAATCACTTTAACTATGAACAATCATGCTTAAGCTACATAATCTTTTACTCCCTGGAATGGAGATAAGAAACGCCCTACCCTTTGTAATAGAGATTGATAGGATTGAATCAACTGGTATAAATACAGATGTAATAAGACAGCAAGAGACAGAACTTAGAACTCAGAACTTAGAATACAGAGCTTAGAACACCGAACTAAGAAGACAGAACCTACACAGAACCTACAGACAGAAGAACTTCGCTGGAGAGAACATGGCAAAAGATCCTGGACTGAACCTGACTACAGAAATTGGCAAGAGAACCTGACTAGAACCTGGTGACTGAACCTGGCTGGAGAACCTGGACAGAACCTGGCTGGAGAACCTAGCGAGGGAACATGGCTACAGAACCTGGCTGGAGAACCTGGAGAACCTAGCAAGAGAACATGGACACAGAACCTAGCTGGAGATCCTAAGCAGAACCTCTCTGGAGATCCAGACCAGAACTTGGCTGGAGATCCTGGCTAGAGATCCTGGCTAGGCTGCTGATCAACTGAACACTGTCTCCGTGTCCTTCCTTCTTTGCCGACTCCGTCTATGCCTTTGGGAACCCCTGGACCTGCTGGGGTTGGACTCCGGCATGCTCAGGTCCATAAGGTTCTGTGACGTGTACGTGCTCAGGTCCATGAGGTTCTGTGATGTGTACGTGCTGAGGTCCATGAGGTTCTGTGATGTGTACGTGCTGAGGTCCGTGAGGTTCTGTGATGTGTGTGTGCTGAGGTCCATGAGGTTCTGTGATGTGTACGTGCTGAGGTCCGTGAGGTTCTGTGATGTGTACGTGCTGAGGACCGTGAGGTTCTGTGATGTGTACGTGCTCAGGTCCATGAGGTTCTGTGATGTGTACGTGCTGAGGACCGTGAGGTTCTGTGATGTGTACGTGCTCAGGTCCAAGAGGTTCTGTGATGTGTACGTGCTGAGGACCGTGAGGTTCTGTGATGTGTACGTGCTCAGGTCCATGAGGTTCTGTGATGTGTACGTGCTCAGGTCCATGAGGTTCTGTGATGTGTACGTGCTGAGGACCGTGAGGTTCTGTGATGTGTACGTGCTCAGGTCCATGAGGTTCTGTGATGTGTACATGCTGAGGTCCGTGAGGTTCTGTGATGTGTACGTGCTCAGGTCCATGAGGTTCTGTGATGTGTACGTGCTGAGGTCCATGAGGTTCTGTGATGTGTACGTGCTCAGGACCGTGAGGTTCTGTGATGTGTACGTGCTCAGGTCCATGAGGTTCTGTGATGTGTACGTGCTTAGGCCCATGAGGTTCTGTGATGTGTACGTGCTCAGGTCCATGAGGTTCTGTGATGTGTACGTGCTGAGGACCATGAGGTTCTGTGATGTGTACGTGCTCAGGTCCATGAGGTTCTGTGATGTGTACGTGCTGAGGACCGTGAGGTTCTGTGATGTGTACGTGCTCAGGTCCATGAGGTTCTGTGATGTGTACGTGCTGAGGACCGTGAGGTTCTGTGATGTGTACGTGCTCAGGTCCATGAGGTTCTGTGATGTGTATGTGCTCAGGTCCTATAGATCCTTGTGAAAGGCTGTTGGGAGTAGGGCCATTTTCTCTTCCCTTCCCCCCAGATCACGCGAGCATGACCGGGATGTACGCAGATGAGTGGAAGCTATGGAAAAGGATCACTTAAACGGTTGCTTTTATTTTATTCCAACTGCAGCATCATTAGGCCAAGTCATTCCATTTTTCATCCCTATGTGATTTAAGAGAAATAATTCTAAATGAAATTACACTGTTGTTATAATATGGATATTTCCCCTGAATATAAGATGTAACATTCAGGTCAACCCCCAAGCCAAACAATGATTATCCCTCCTATTTATTCATGTTTTTTAGCTTGATCAAAACCCAAGTTTCTTAAACAGGTGTAACTGCTGTAACAAAATCTGCATGTGTATGTGCGAGGCCAGTGTATTTTGATGCAAACAAGATGATGCTGGACAAGGTATTATCCCTCTTTTAAAGATGAGGAAACCAAGGCTCAGAGAAATTAACTTGCTCAAATTATGTAAGTAATTAAAATAGTAATACTACAGCTAGTAGTGGTGAAACTGACTGAATCCAAAAATCAATGCTTTATCTTTTAGTAGCAAATATTGTCCCTCAGCGATTGCAATACCCTGAGGAACATGTAAAAGGGACAAAAGAATCCATAAGCCTGGAGGGGGGCGGGGGTGATGAGAAAGAGTCTGGTGTTCTGCTATAGCAAACCCACCACCCAGGGCTGACATTAACCTTTAAAACACAAGCTACAATGCAGACTCCACAGAAGAGGACAGTGAGCCAGAAGGCTGCTCTATTCCTTCCCTGTATTTAGAAGAACCAGCATAGCCTTTAGTATTCCACTAATTGACATGCGATTATGTACACCTAAGACTCAGTCAAGACCCTCCTCAAGGTTCATTTTCTCTAAACTATGAAAGGAGTTTCAAACATGGCACAGGTTACTTAATATATTAATATTATAAAATGACAAATCTGTTCCTAAAGAACACACAGGGTCGCATAACCCTGAATGTGAAGGATTCTGTGGACACATTTCCACGGGGCAAAGAAAATTCCCTATTTTTACACTTCGATGACGAGCTAATCATTGAACCAGATAACCCAGGAAAGGGTGGGGAAAGCCGGAGGGAAATTAGGAGAAGAATTGGTCAAAGGGGGAAAAAGACGAGAACAAACATAAAACAAGAGAAAGGAGAAATAAATGGAGAGAAGAGGAAGGCTTTAGATGGACAGGCTGCATGCTAACAATCTTCTTGCTAAAAAATCTGGACATTTCACCAATACAGTAGGCTTTCGAGAACATGTGTTAAAAAATGACCAAGAAAGAGAAAAACAGAACAGATCAATGGTCGGTCATGGCAGGCAAACAAGACAACTGCCCTAGAACCATCCTTCAAAGGGTACCAGGCTCAGAAAGAGTTGCTTGCAAGTCCTAGCAAATGCCAAAAAGAGTTTATTTCCTTTATCAATTCAAAGTCTTTAATAACAAACTACGTGACAAAATGCACATAATTCTTATAGATCCATATTAAGATATCTGCTAATATAACTTGCCATCTTGTTATTCAAAGCAGAAAGCATATAGGATCTCTCAATAAATGACAAACCAGAAGTTGATAAAAATTTAATACTATAAAAAAAAAAAGCTTGGTAAATGAGGAAAGGAACACTTCCTTTTCTGAAAGAAAGCAATTGCAAGCACGCTCCCTAATTTTAAGAAGAAGGGTAAAGCTGCCAACATTCACATCTATTATTAAAAATAATTCTGGATGTTCTAGCCAGAGCAGAAGGAGAAAAAAATACAAATATGGGTAGTGGAAAGGAAAAGCAAACATATAAATTTTAAATAATGTTATCTATCTGAGAAATCAAGCACATTAACTGTACTCATAATGAAAATCAACGTAGATTAAAATTTAATGATTGGGAAAATATGACCATACTGATATGCATTTTAGAGAAAGCTCCGTGGAAGTATTACGACTAATTCTCCAGTACTGATGGGACTCAGAGCTTAATTATAGCCTTGGTTTTACCACCAAACAGCACGTCCTTGGGAAACACTATTGAACTTCACCCAGCACATTTCTTCAAGTATAAAATGTCCTGATAGTTCTGTCTCTACAAAGGCTGACATTTCGAGTCAATTCAATTACGTGTATGAAAATACTTGACATTCGGTGTACTGGCTGCGTGACCCAATTCAAATTTCCACCCCAGAACACACTGATCCCTCCCATTTGCGGGCTTTATTTATACAGTTTTCCTTTTTATAAATGAAATGAAATTCACTACAAACTGCCCCAAGGAAAAACAAATTCAATTTTTAAAAAGCACACATGAAAACCAATGCTTTATTTTTTTAATTTCAATTTTTCTATATTGATTTCCAATATTGTGTTTCTAATACTCTATAGTGGGGTTCCATTTGGCGAGAAAAAGAGAAATACCTCTTGGCCACAAGAGGGAGCTAAACATTTGGGTCCCTTGATTTATTGAAGGCCTCTTTCACATTTCCTATGCGACAGAAGACTTCCCTGTCTCCAACTTGCGACTTGATTTGTGGCATCATTTCTATCCCTTGAAATAAGGTCCTGCACTGCTCATGGCTGCCTCAGATGAGAAGCACAATAATTACAATATTTACAACCAACAGTGGGGCTTTTATTTTCCTAACATGCTTAGCGAACATTGAACATCAAAAACATTCTATATCTGTGTAAATAAGGGCTGATTGCAAAATCATCTACAAAAAAAATATTTTTTCTTTATAAATATATCTTCTCTTGGTTCTTCCACTAAAATCTTCCCAGAATACTTTTTATACGACTATTAAAAAACGGGTGTATCTTTAATAATAAGTAACCCGACCCTTGTAAAAATGGTACAACAGATAAAATACTATGCTCAGAACATGGAGATCATACCAAACAAAAGGCAATAAATAAAGTATCTCCTGTTCTCAGAAAGGAGTTTATGATTTACAACATTGCAAAAGGTAGCTTTGATCTTACAAGATTAAAACTCAAAATGCATACTGCAAACCGCCACCGAAAACACACAGCTTAAATACCAAGGAAATGAGTGTTACATCATCCTCATACACATTATAAACGAATTATTTTTTAAAACACTCAAAGTACACATAATCAAAGTCACTTATATCAACTGGTCATTTTATACTGAAAAATGTGATCCCAATCACACAGAGTCTGTGAATAAAATGGCTAGGTGTGAAAAGGAATTGGAATTTTGTTCCCAATTTATGACCCTGACAGATCACCACAGTGACTTTGTTAAGCATTTGATTGAACTCAGTAAGAATACGGAAGTGAGATATACACAGGGTGGGACAAAAGCAGGTGTACAGTTCTGAGTATGCAAAACATGGAGTTTATGCTTGTATTCTTATTTATTAAGTATTGCATCATTTTCCATACAAACAACTGTACACCTACTTTTGCTCCACGCTGTATACGTGAAACACAGGCAGTTAAAATGGGCTATTCTTTGCATTAGATTCTTGCATTACACCCTTTTCACTGGGGTAAACGAATCCAGTCATGTGATCTACACCAAGTCAACAGTGCTTGCTTCTGCTCCTGTTCAAGATAACAGTCTGGGTACCATTCGTGAGAAGCATCTTGTTGACATCTCCCAGTTATCGTGACGTGAATGTCAGCGCCTGTACCTCGGGCCCTGCTGAGCTTACAGGGAGCCTGGAGAATCGGCTGCCCTACAAGGAAGATGCTCGTTTGCTTTACTGAAATGTGGGTCTGCAGGGCTCTTACAACCTGTCTCCGGGGACGAGCATGTGGGGGCCCGGTCACGTGTCTCAGGACAGTGAGGGCAGCTATGCCTATGGAAGATGCCTACTGCAGGGCATCCCGGGCTCTGGATTATTGGGTTCAAACCCCAGTTCTTCCTTCACTACATGGTCATCGTTCATCTGCAAAAGGGGGAAATGATGGGAACAGTCGAGTAGCAGCGCTGGGAGAACTGTTTATGTATCTACTCAGTAGAGAGATGAAGAAAGGTTTATTATTTTTAGCTACTACTACTGTTTTAGCTGTTACATTTTTGTCCATTATTTTTACATTATGAAAAGTCAAATGATGTTCCAAAACCAACAACTAAACCAGGTCTTAAAACGTTTAATTGAAGGAGGTAAACATTGAGGCTGACGCTATCACAGGGCCCAGCACCTTCCTTCTCATGGGGAAACTATCTGGACTCCAAACTGCATCCCAGGACAGGATGCGCGCCTCACAGGCATCGGCAGGCTTCTTCTGTCTGTACGTCGCCCCTGCCAATGCTTCCCCCCTAAGTACAGTGATATACAGTTTCCGTCTCCAGGAGAAAGAAATACACAAAGGAATCATGACATAAGCATTTGTGATGAGAATTAAAAGAAGAAAATCATACCTGGGTAGTCTTCAGATACATGTACTGAATAGGACACACTGTTAAAACAGAAGAAAAGAGAAACAAGGTCAAGTTACTGCTATGGAAGAAATGCTTTCCTATATAATAAAAGCCTAATATGCTGAGTGTCTGGTCATCTGGGTGTCCGTTCAACCAATCAAAGTGTAATATGCTAATGATATGCTAAGGCCACTCAACCACTTGCTATGACGTGTACTGATCACCAAGGGCAGACAGTCGACTGGTCGACCAGGTGCTATGATGTGCACTGACCACCAGGGGGCAGATGCTCCAACTGGTAGGTTAGCTTGCTGCTGGGGTCTGGACAATAAAGACTGAGCAAGACGGGCCGGACACGCCCTGGGGCCCTCCCGCAGTCCCTACCTGGCTGGCCCTCCCCGGCCCATCGTGCACCCGTGGGGTCCCTTGGCCTGGCCTGTGCCCTCTCACAGTCCAGGCTGAGGGACACCCCCATGCCCGCTGCTGCCAAGTGCACAAATTTTGTGTACTGGGCCTCTAGTTACAAAATAAAAACCAAACCCACACACCCATTCATCTACATAGATACAAGTCTATACGATAACATGCAAACAGACCAGAAATCCCCACATTAAATCGCTCGATTCATCAAGAAGCACTTCTTGGTAACTTGCTATGAGTCAGACACGAGTTAAGGCCAAACAGGACTTAAGTGGAAAAAAATCAGGAAAATGCCTTTGAATGATTGCTTCGGAGGAAACAAAGATGATGAAACAGGATGACTGACTATGGTAGACAAAGGAAAGACAGTACCTTTTAAAAAAAATTTTTATTTTAAAATAGGTTCACACAAAGTTGCAGGTAGCACAGGGAGGTCGCACGCTCCTTCCACCCAGTCCCCGCACTGATCGCACCCACGGACCCACAGGCCAACAGCAAAGGCAGGAGCAGGTGACAGCTCCACGTCCTTTTAGCACCCCCACCGCCAATCAAGATGCAGACTATCCGACCCACATTTCCCTTGTCCGCTCACCTCAGTCCCTGCACCCACATCCTTCCAGCCGACGCTCCGTCTCTGTAACTTTGCGATTCCAAGGAGATTCTATAAATGGAACCCGGAGTACGAAGCATGACAATATTTTAGGATTTGGGATTTTTGGAAAAATGACTGAGCCTGGCGCTATTTAGAATACACTGGAGAAGGATCGGAGGAGGAGGCCGGTGCAGTAAAACAGGAGCCCTGTCCGTGGGGAGGTTTGTGAGGGGGGAGGAGGCAACACCAAAAGGCAGACATTGCCCACCCCCCTCCCCTCTCCTCTATAACCCCCTCCCCACCTCCCTTCTTCCCCTAATCCCCCCACCCCACCAGCCTCACCACCCCCCTCCGCCCAGGGCCCAGCGCAGGGCGTCCTGGCCCGAATCCCACACCAAGAATCACAGGGGAACACAACCACGTCACTGCCGCCTCAGACAGGCTGCCCCAGGGGAGTCGTTTTCCCCTGATTCCGTCCTCATGCAGGAGACTGGGCTGCGCAGAACGAAGTCATGACGAAGGCAGCCCTCACGCAACCCGGGTGACACAGCTGGGCCCCTGCCAGGCCACACGGCACCAGTGAGTCAGTGCCCGGCAGCCCAGCCTCCCAACCGCCAGCGGCCGCTTCCTTTTCCCCAGGCCCGTCTCCGTCCGGTGGCAGCCTCACTGCGTTCGCAGGCCCCCCCCCCCCCCTCCACTGGGGGAGCCGCTGCGGTGGGAGCCACGGCCGCAGGGGTCGGGTGCCAGCTCCGGCCTCACTAGCCCGGGGGCCTGGGGAAGTGCTCTCTCTCAGCCTCCTGCAGTAAAACGGCAGGATCCAGACCCGCCTCCCAGGCCTGCCGGGAGGACTGAACGGCTAACAGGTGTCCGGCCGCAGGACGACGCTAGACACACGGGCGCCGGTGCCAGGCACACGGTGCAGACGCCGGGCATACGGGCGCAGACGCCGGGCACACGGTGCAGACGCCGGACACACGGGCGCAGACGCCGGACACGCGGGCGCAGACGCCGGACACGCGGGCGCAGACGCCGGGCACACGGTGCAGACGCCGGGCACGCGGGCGCAGGTGCCGGACACACGGGCGCAGACGCCGGGCACACGGGCGCAGGTGCCGGGCACACGGGCGCAGACGCCGGGCACGCGGGCGCAGACGCCGGGCACGCGGGCGCAGACGCCGGACACGCGGGCGCAGACGCCAGACACGCGGGCGCAGACGCCGGACACGCGGGCGCAGACGCCGGGCACGCGGGCGCAGACGCCGGGCACGCGGGCGCAGACGCCAGACACGCGGGCGCAGACGCCAGACACGCGGGCGCAGACGCCGGGCACGCGGGCGCAGGTGCCGGACACGCGGGCGCAGGTGCCGGACACGCGGGCGCAGACGCCGGGCATACGGGCGCAGGTGCCGGACACACGGGCGCAGACGCCGGGCACACGGGCGCAGACGCCGGGCACACGGGCGCAGACGCCGGGCACACGGGCGCAGACGCCGGGCACACGGGCGCAGACGCCGGGCACACGGGCGCAGACGCCGGGCACACGGGCGCAGAAGCCGGACACACGGTGCAGACGCCGGGCATACGGGCGCAGAAGCCGGACACACGGGCGCGGATGCCAGCCACACGGGCGCAGGTGCCGCGTCCTCGGCAGCTCCCAGGACCCGCGTGAGAACGTGCAGGAGAGAAGTTCCGCATGACCGAGGGTGCCCGGGGAGCCCAATGGTCTCAGGATCACAATGTCCAGGTCACATGTCTCACCGGCCGAAGCCGCCCTGATGACCTCATTCCCGGCTGTGCCATCCGAGGGGGGACCGCACGCATTTCCCACGCGCAGCGCAGAGGCGGAGGCGGAAGCCCCAGGAAAGACCCCCGCAGCCCGCACCGCAGGGGGAAGCCGGCTCACTCCGGCCGTCCCGGGCTCTCGGGGGGGGGGGGGGGGGGGGGGGGGGCGGAGCGATGCGCGGGGCAGACATGGTGATGAGGCCGGAGGACCTGCTCGGTGAGGCAGACGCGGGGCGGAATGCCTGTTGGTGGCGGCTGAAGGCGCGCAGGCCTCCCCCGGGCACGATGCTGTGAGGGCGCGTCTCAGCTCTGCGTCCACTTGCAAGACCACAGCTCAGACCGGAGGATGAGGGACCCAGGCCGCGCCCAGACCACGTGGGCTTCCTGGAGCAGAACCCCTCAGCACACAGCGTCCCCTGCCCCTCCTGGTCCCACGGCGGGAAAGAGACGCCGGGCGCCCACCTCCAAACCAGGCCTGCGTCTCCTGCGGGAGGGGTGTGGGGCGGCTGGACCTCACATTTGCTGTTTCACTGCCATGCGCTTCCCAGACACGCATCATCCCTCATGATCACTTGTACCTTCCACATGTCTTCTCAGCAGCCAGGTCAGCGAACTACAGTGCCCTCCTCCTTCACTGCTATTAGCCACCAAGCACCGTGTCTCACGTAGAGGGAGGGATTGCCAGGGCCCACGGGGGACACGAGGTCTCAACACCAGCCACTCACAGCTCAGCTCACTGGCCCCAGCACCCACCCTCATGGATTTCTTTGCTTTTGCTTCTCAATTGTTTTCTCAAACCCTCACACCTTTCCAACACCACATACCATGCCCTTTCGCTGTCTGCATTCGGGTAAAGTAGATGATCACACGGTTCCTCCCCCAGGCATCCCCCAAGTCTGGCTCCCACCGCCCCCCCACTCTCCCACCCCCCCAACCTATAGGCTCACACTTCTCTCCGGGCACCAGAGAAAAGGAAATGTCTGTCCCTTCGTGTAAAACTAACCCATCTACATGGCTTATGGGTCCCAGAAACCCACACTGCATGGGGGACCTCGCTCTATTAATTTAATCTAACTAACGGTTCCAAACTTGAAACTCATCAGAAATCGGTAAGCATGGAAATCCAAAAAGACAGACCCACACTGATATTAATGGCAGCACAATTTAAAGGGAAAAACCGTCCAAGCAGCAAGGGTGCCAATAATACAATTACAGAAACCGTTAGACACGCACAGTGTAACACAAGGTAAGCGGGAGAAAGGGATGGTGTGAGATACTATGGAATGGAGGAATAGGTGTTTCTGATACACTGAGGTACATACAAAAATGTGGACAGCTGTAACATGTTTTTATTGAAAGTGTGTACACACACATCTACCACTCTATACTGGCAGAAACATGACTGAAGAAATAATGGCCAATTTTAACACTGGTTATCCCTTGATTATTGGATAAAGGGTATCTTTACTTTTTGCAAGTCTGTACTATTTCAATCTTTGTAAGAAGTGTGTATTGTGTAAAAAGGATAAAAAGCCGGTAATACAGTCTCCCTTCACCTTGCAGCCTTTTCTCATGATCACCTGACTTTCCTTCCTCTGAAAGTTGGGTTTTGATGGAATATTCTATCCGTCGTCACTGCCCCTGCCGGAACGTGCACCTGCCAGTCTGCCCCCCCCCCCCCCCCGCCCTCCACTAGATTCTGCTTCTTCAGTCACCCTGCCGGTCTTTTCTAGTCCTTTCTCGGATGCATTTAACAAAAATGAAGACTTCGTGCAACCCTCCTCCTTAATCCCTGACCTCCCCCTCCCCGGGGCCCCTCCCGCTTCTGGGGGTGCTCTTCCTCCTCTCTTGACTTTGACATGACACCTGTCATGTCTCCACATCTCAATGCTGTTCTGATGCGCGGCCCGCTCCACACAAGTAATGCAACTCCATCCAGGAGTCTGCTACCAACCGAGAGCCTCAGAAATCCCGAATCGCCAATCCACGCAGGCAGCTGCTTCTGTTTCTTCACATTGCCAACAGGACATTCTACAAGCAAAATAAACCCAACACACAGAAGACGGAGCTCGTTGCCTTCTTTACATTCAGGTTCAACTCAGCAGATTAAACGCCAAGAGGTTCGGGGTCGGTGACAGCAGCGGCGGCGGGCAGGCACGATAGGCCTGCTGACCCGGGACCACTCACTCACCCCAGGGCGCAAGCCCTCGGCCACCTCCGGGCAGGGACACGGCTCTCGCAGCC